ATACGGTATCGGGAACCTCTATTCTGATAAGCTTAATGTGTTCCTGTTAATACTACCGAGGCGTATTCAATAGTATTAGAAAGCTCGTACGCGTCGTTTTTCAATGCGAGTGTTTCACCTGTTGGCGTTTCTTCTTTCCTTCCACGTTTTGCTGTCGTGTTATAAACGTTATAAAGCGAACGATCATTTCCTTCTTTTTTTTTCTTTTCTTTTTTTTTTTTTGGGGGGGGGGGGGGATGTCTGTTTTTATTAAACGATACATTGTTCCACATTTATGTCGATAACTGATGTTTATCCTCCAATTTTATCCCCACAATATACAATTCGCTTGACATGTTGGATGTCTGTTAACTTAACCCGGGCAGCCTAGTGAATAAAGCGTTCGCTCGTCACGCCGATTCCCGACATGGGTACAATGCGTGAAGCCGTGATATTGCTGAAATATTGCTAAAAGCGGCGTAAAACCATACTCACTCACTCACTCAACTGAACCCATTTTCGAAAACAAGATTGTTCGGCTTCTCGTTTTACAGAAAACATGTGTGAAGCAGTGACCGAGCAGATATCCTGCCTTGAACATAGGTCCTCTCCCTTCAAATACTAAATGGTCGCCCCTAATAGTGAGTGTGAGAGTTGTGTTTAAACAATGTTGGCATAATACAGAACTATCACGCTGGGGAACACCTGAGATGGAACTCACATATATCGAACCAAGACCTTAAGTGTGTCGAGGGAAGGCTCTATCCACTTGGCTAAATTTTAAGCGAGTCAGTGATTAGGTTTAAAGCCGTCTGAACTATATTGATTAGTAATACTCGTATAGCGGCGTGTCAGCTTGATGTGATGCAGGTCGTAGACGTCTATCCCTTCGAGCATGGATTAAAACTCGTCTAACCGTAGAATCACGACTCATGAAAAGCATGACCTGAGTTTGTCCGTGAAGGTAAGGCAGTGCTACTGTCAAGTAGAAAAAAATGCCGCCTGTCAGCTATAATGGTTGAAACAAATAAGGGAACATTTTAAAATATAGGCAAATATGTTTTACTTTCAGTACATTTGAAATATTGCGCATAAAAACTCAACACATATGGAAATCAGATGTTGAGGAGTGTTTGTGTGCATTGTTTCCAACGCATGTTTGGTAGACACGGCTTGGAACCCATGAGAGCATATCATTGTCTAGTGTCATTGTTTCCAACACATGTTTGGTAGACACGGCTTGGAACCCATGAGAGCATATCATTGTCTTGTGTCATTGTTTCCAACGCATGTATGAAAGACACGGCTTGGAACCCATGAGAGCATATCATTGTCTAGTGTCATTGTTTCCAACACATGTTTGGTAGACACGGCTTGGAACCCATGAGAGCATATCATTGTCTAGTGTCATTGTTTCCAACACATGTTTGGTAGACACGGCTTGGAACCCATGAGAGCATATCATTGTCTAGTGTCATTGTTTCCAACACATGTTTGGTAGAGACGGCTTGGAACCCATGAGAGCATATCATTGTCTAGTGTCAGTGTTTCCAACGCATGTTTGGTAGACACGGCTTGGAACCCATTAAAGCACATCATTGTCTAGTGCCATTGTTTCCAACGCATGTTTGGTAGACGTACACGGCTTGGAACCCATGAGAGCATATCATTGTCTTGTGTCATTGTTTCAAACGCATGTTTGGTAGACACGGCTTGGAACCCATGAGAGCATATCATTGTCTAGTGTCATTGTTTCCAACGCGTGTTTGGTAGACACGGCTTGGAACCAATGAGAGCATATCATTTTACTGTGTCTAAAACTCCGTGTTCCCTTATTCATTAATCCGTATATCTTAATGCACTTTCTCACCTCGAACATTCCACACTGTAGGTAATCACTACCTCTGGGATTTGATTATTTGATTATTTGGATACTTCATATGTGACACCAAGGGAGGTATTCATAAAGATTTTTCTTAAGTCTAAACTTAACTTTTTTTTCAGACTTCAGACTTTTATTATTACCTCCGCAGGTGTCCTTAAGACGACTGAACAGTCCTGGCTCAGCCCTTCTGACACCCTTGGAGTGGATGAGGTCACAGAAACGTTTCCCTTTAAATGCTATTTTCTGAAAGCCTCTATCTACGAACAAGTATATATATAATAATAATATATTCTTAATACAAATATATCTCTGGATTGAACATGACAATGGCGTACATACGTGTATGCGTCCGTGTTGATCAAATTAGATGTCACATCATGCTTGTTATAAGAGGGGGCTAACGGGATCGGGTGATCAGGCTCGCTGACTTGGTGGATACATGTAATCGATCCCACAATGCGAGGATCGATGCTCATGATATCAATCACTGGTTTGTCTGGTCCAGACTCGATTATTTACAGACAACAGCCATATATCTTGCTGAGTGCGTCGTTAAGGAACACGCAAACAAAGGTAGGCTGAATTCTATGTTGAACGATTATGATGACGTAGTTGAAACTGAGCCAGGAATTCACTTGCATTTCCGAACGTGCATCTTGTGCAAGTAACACTTACGCAGGTCCTTACAATGTCTCCATTGCGTCTTAAATAATCCGGAGATTATCTCCACACTTCGTCTTGTACTCATCAATAACAATAAGGAAATAGTACAAAAGGCATTGGTCATAATACAATATTTAATGCTGATTTGGAACACACGAACGAGAATGACAGTGTCTTTTTGTCGTTGTTGAAGTTGTATTGAGCACATACGTGTACATCACAGACAGAGTGACTTACTCAACACGGTGAAACCTTGTAAGTCCGGACCCTGTTAATCAGGACAGAACGTCCCGAACATACCTTCCGAGAACGACACATATTTCACTGAATACGACAGTCGGGATTCCCTGTAATACTATTATATCCGGGTTATAGCCAGGTTCACTGTTATATCACCATACAATGCAAAGACATTTGTTTTTTCCTGAAAATATGATAATGCTTTAGAAATATAAAAAAATATACCAGTTTAGAAGCTCACGCGTTTACTCTATTATCGAAGAAGTCACGATGGCATCAAAGCTTTCGAGGTGCGGGATAGTTACGAAAGTGTGTCATCAGTTATTTAATCTTGTGTAATATAAAAGTTAATTATTTACTTTTGTATTATTGGACACAAAGTGCATTGTAATCAAGGGCAGCAACCTATATATCGATCGGTGTGCGTTATACAGGTCAGGTCACCGCCTCTTTAATATCTTATAAGGGTCTAATGAATGCATTAATGCCGAATATCCATCACCTTGTAATAGTGCATCTACTACAATGTTTCCATAGACAATAAATAGGGCACAGGTGGCTCATCCGCCTTATTCCGCACATCGAGTTGCCAGAACACTGATCGTGGATTCAGTCCTAGAGAAGCCAGGATTAGGTTTCTTAGAGTCAGTACCATACCAATGCACGTGCGTTTTTACCAAAATGACCTTCATCACTCTGGGATTTCCTTTCCTGTCACGCACGCACGCCAAAAAGCCAAATAGCCAATATCAACTCCACAATTGACACAAATTATGTCAGGACGTCTTTGAACGAGCATCAGAGCACGAAGCGCAGTCAACCGTTAACCTGCTTCAAAGTGTACAGTGATAGTATGTGATAGTGATTTGGCTTTTACGCGGCCTTTAGCATTTTTTTTCAATATCACGACAAGGGACACCAGAAAGAAGCTTCACATAATGTACCAATGTTGGGAATCGAACTCGTACCTTACGCGTGAGGAGCAAACGCATTCAAACCACTAGGTTGCCCCAACGCCCTATGTTTGTAACAGCCATATTGTATAGTTAAAATATTCAAACACTATTAGTACATCTCAGTTATTGAATTATGTTAACACTATGGTATTGAACAAGCATCTATGGCTGCAGTCTTAAGTTGTTGTCGCGGCGAACAGCTGCAAGATTGCTGGTGCGGCGTTAAACAACAGTTGCTCACTCACTTAATGTGTATCTATACCGACAGACAAAAGTAAGGGAAAACAATTGAATAGCGCAAAGTGGTGTTCCGTATAACGCTGTGTTCCGTATAGTTGTTCATATGAACGTTGGCTGCAATTTGTTATTTCATTTTTCACAGTCTCCGATCATAATCAATGTTGTCGATACTCCTTGGACTTGTATGAGTGAGTGAGTATGGTTTTACGCCGCTTTTAGCAATATTCCAGCAATATCACGGCGGGGGACACCAGAGATGGGCTTCACACATTATAACCATGTCGGGAATCGAACCCGGGTCTTCGGCGTGACGAGCGAACGCTTTAACCACTAGGCTACCCGATCGCCCCTGGACTTGTAGGAGATACACCTTCCTAGCCATCCTCTAGACCATGTTGTGTTCAGGTTTAAATAAAAGTAAACATCATTCAACATTCAACCCAAGGATATGATCATGACATTCGTTGTAATGTCCACGGTGACACGCGTTGTACAATAGTAACAACAGTAACAACAGTAACAACATGACAACATCACAACATCACAACACGCAGTCGTGGTACATGGAGTACACAGGCTGAGCCGTGCAGTGGAGCACGTTTCACCCCGTGCATTGTGTTACATTATAACCTCAAATGTATCACATACTGTCATGTATATGTATAATGCCCTAAAACATATTTTGTACATGTATCTAAACATTAATCAATGGATTGATGATAATCTCATTCGATGCAAGAATGTAAATTCTGCTTTGTGCAAATGCCATTCACGTAAATCAGTGTTACATTGTTCAACGTGACACTTTGTATACTTGTTCTCTAAAAGTATATATACCATTCCTTCATGTTTTGAAGGCATTGCTCGTATAAAAAATCAATTTATTATATTTAACGTAGGCTAGAAAATAACGTCTCATAACTACTGCTCGGGGATGACAGAGATATCGTGGATAATACTCTATTATCAGACTTCGTTGTGGGTGAAACTGATTGTAAAAGATCATAATATAGACCCATATCCACCGATAGAAACGAACGGCCGTTTATAAGACCCGGCGTTATAATAAAGTCTTCTTATGAACTGAAAACGATTGCGCTAATCCGTTTAAACCTGATTGGTATTATTAGTTCATCAGTGAACGGGTGTATACTTTTCTCGCAGCAAGAGAGTCAAGATCACTAATCCTTGAATTTCATTTCATAAAATAATGCCTTTCTTCGAGAAGCACATTTATATCAGTGTCCGTCAATATGACTCATGAGGTAGAAACATTCTAGACACAAATATATACACCAGTTCAGGGTGTATGATACTGAGCCATGGTTATGTACAATCATTGGTCATACACAACACCTCTCGGAATGAACCTACTGGTACGACATCAGACCATCTTGTTGGCAGGTATCCTCTTTCTGCACACACACACTCATATATCACATCACCTTTTTATTGTGTTTAAGTGACCACAGTGTCACACGTCTTGTTATACACTGCTCAACAACCTCAGACGAAACGAAGTGAACACCGAGTTTTGGGACACCAGGTGTTTCGAATGCAGCGGAATAACCCATTTCCATTGAACAGCGGACATGGAGGAGTGTGACACTGTGCACGTGGGGTTACTGCGCTACGTGTATTCGTCAATGCGCCACCTTGACTCGGCACATGGACTGTAGCTCACAAGCAAAGATCCCACCGATGCTATTTTTAACAATTGTTCGGATCATACAGAGTCAATCTTAAGTCTGTTCCACAATTGACGATTCAAGTACTCATGGACAGAGAAAGCATCAAGTCGCTCCCTCGCCCGATGCAGGTATTTTCGGCAATTTTGTCACTACCAGAGGCGACTCTCTTATCAGTGAACCGGGTCGAGAATGTGACGTCAGGTTGCCAGGAGACCCAGACAACAACATAGTTTGACGTGGGGTCAAGGTCATCTGATGAATGTATGGCATCGGCGACAGTGACATATAGGACTCAAGCGATGGCGTTGGCGCCAGGTGACAAACTGGAACAGGGGAGGTAATCATGTACGAGGGACGGTGGTATCGTTTAGAGGGTTTGAAATCCGGCGAAAATGAAGGCCCTGGGTTAACTTTGGGAAGTATAACTGTTTCCTTACGTTTCAATTTCTTTTTACTCTCTGGTCTGTACGTCGAAATTCGCGGTGTTGCAGACGACTCCTTTCTTGTCTCCCTCCCGAGGAGAATTAGTTCGTTCAATTTCTTCCCATTTACAGACAATTCTACCTTTTCTCCACTTTGAAGCAGACCTGACTTAAGTTGCAGGCGATTTATCCTTGGCACCCTACCTGTTGGTACTCGTCCTTGAGGTGTTGGGTGTTTCACAGCAACCTCGGGAAGCACATTTCTCTGCATAGCACTATTACGTTTTATATCCGCATTGTTGGTAGGCACGCTGACAGTTGTATCCTCAACCTTGACATCCACTGGCGGCCTTGCCTCAATGCGAGGCGCATAGCCTGGCGGTTGCATGATCTGCGCAGGCGCTCGGTAAACCGGAAGTTGATGTTTTATCACAGGAAGCTTATTAGCAGCAACCTCCTTCCGAGGCTTTTTGTCACTCACATATTTTCGATCGACGTTGTTACGTGTAATAGTAGGCAAATTATCTGTCTTGTCTTCTACCTTTAGTCTGTGCAGTTTCAAACGGGCAACGGAGTGTCTATTCGAATTAACCTCTTTGTAAACAGCTACCGGTTCCGGTTTAACCTTTGGCAACAGTTTATGGGGGACATAAGGGATTTGAGGGTTTCTGTAAATACTTGCAGCGGCTTGAGGCACAGCCGTAACCGAGTGTTTGTTAATCTGTGGAAGTTTATCATGTGTGTGTCGATGTTTATGTTTCCTTATCGACGGTCCCTGGTCCTTCTGGGGTCTATGAATCCCACCACTATGAATATCCGGGTAGCGAATGGGTACTTTGAGAGTGTTTTCTGTAAAGCGGGGTACTGGTTGATCGTTTGCCTCATTTTCAGACGCGTTCGACACTTCAAAAGATATCTCTCTCTGAATACTGGGATCTTCCACGGGATCGGAATTGCCATTTTGAGCGGATCTTGCTCGTATGAATTCGTCATGATCCGCTAGAATACTTTGAGAGAGTACATGTATTTCGGCCGATATTCGACCGACATTGTTCATATGATCCCTAGTCGTTGAAATAAGACGCCGAGATCTTGTCAGGAACTTTAAATGGGGATCCGTTGGATCTGCAATGGAAGATAGAAAACATGTGAGAAATATAGTGCATGCCCGTATGTGCCGAAGATCCGGGGTTTATTCCGCAAATAGGTACAGTATGTTCTGCCTGTTCGAAGTGTAACCTGTGGGGGCGATTTTGGAATAATGGACTAACCATTAGCTATTCTGGGATGGACCTGGACATATTTTCTTCTGTCACGATGGAGCCAAACACCTGTGTTTAACCTGAACACGTTCACGTCACCCAGTTATTTCAGGGAAAAGTAATTTTCTTTTTGTTAAAATATGCAAAAGTCAAGATAAACTTCCAACATTTATGGCCACTCGCACGCTCGCAAATACAATGTTCGTCCTCTAATGCCTTACATTTAAAACCTCAGGGACTATGAAAGTTGTGATCATATCTTAGAAATAAAGTTTAGACTGAACCCTCATTTGACCGCTAACATGAACAGCATGAAATCAGATAGTAATGATGGACCAGGTACATGCAATGTCTGTACATGAACACAACAGTCAAATAGATTTACTAAAATGTACAAATTAAGTATTTTTATATGACTGAAAATAATTTGTATCCAGCAAATTTGCTCATCAGCATTCAGCATTTTTAACATTGCGACGGACATCGTGCGGAAACTATTAATCGAAGCATTCCCGTGTTGAAAAAAGTATATGTTCTATTCTGGCATCACGCAGCTTTCATTATGTTACGCACTGGAACATGTACTTCATGTTAATGCATCATCCAAGCAAATATATACAAAAGGTCAACGATCAATAGGAGTTCGCACCAAGTACACGAGAGATCGACGAAAGATGATGACTCAAAGGTATGAGGGGGTCTAAATGTACCGTCGCATTGTCATTGTTATAGCCATTCAGCATAGCTGGAACCAATGAGTTTAATACTAGTATAAGAACGAGTTTAATAATGGTATAAAAATGCGATAATACTGGTATAATATTGAGTTTAAAACTGGTATAATATTGACTTTAATCCTGGTGTAAAAAATAAGTTAATACTGGTATACGAATGAGTTTAATGCTGGTATATGAAAGAGTTGAATACTTGTATACGAATGAGTTGAATACCGGTATAAGAATGAATTTAATAGGGGGAAAGGAATGCGTTAAATAGTGGTATACGAATTAATCTAAAACCGGTATACGAGTGACAAGGCTACATGAACAAATTAAATGTTTCGCTTGCACGCTTTTTCCAAAAAAATGAGGAGGACGTAGGACCTTTTATTTTTTAATAACAATGGTGATGGCGGAGGAACAGTTTGTTTTTATGTTCCCAGTGAGAATGACAACAAGCACACCTTGCATGGGGACACATTAAAATCCGTTCTTTAGTATTCTTTAGAATAAAAAAATAATTGTCTTGCAATATAAATGATTTACCGTGTCGCGCCAATGCTCAAGACATATTTCCTTTTTAGCATAACTAAATACTGGTAGGTGTTTTAAACATAAGTATTTCGTAACGATAAGGATTGGCACAAAAAGCCAATAGCTTTATTTAATGCCTCTCCAATAGAAAAAACAAACAAACCAAGAAAATATATTGCAAGAAATACAATAGTGGACAATTAATTTTATATAAAACATATTTTCAAACATCATATACTAATTAATTGCTATCAGTTAAGTTATAAGTAGATTACAAGTAGATAACTGAAATATTAGACCTAATTGAGTTATTGAAACTACCAGATTCTGAGATAAATGTTTGTACAGATTGAACTATTTCAGTTTTCCTGTACGGATGTTCAACATTTCCATGTAAATTTTTCTTTTTATCATTTCCATGTGTATAATAATACATATTATATCTGATAATGGCGTAATACAAAAAACAAGTAAATAATTATATTTTCATATGCTTCGTCACTATAGCAGTTTTGGTCATTCTATGTTTTATCTGCGTTTAAATCGCTGCAACCTAATTAGAGTCGAGAACGTATTGAAATCAAATCCACATTTATATAGTAGTTTCACGGTGATCTTGCCTGTAAACCTACTTGAGGATTATATCGATTGAATATCTTCTGGTAAAGAGACCCAAAGTCCTGCATAATCAGTTTGGAAAGATTTTACATGATGATGTCCTTGCTTAAATAGGTTACTAGAAGGTATTTCCTCATGAACGAGAGTCTTTAACAATAGCACTTCAGTCGTAAATTAAATATCTCAAGGACACAAGAAAATAAAAACGACATTGTATTGATTTTCATGTAACGATGGAAGAATTATCCATTTCTGACGTTGATTAGGTTGTTGTTTCATTTCTTTAAGCAATGTACTGATTATAAGGTCTTCGTGTAATTTTCATTCATGCATATAAGTGTTATTGACATACAACGCAAACAAGATAACTGACGCTTGGTAATCGATATAGAAGATGGTGAACCACGCTCTCCGTTTATTATCGATACGTACTAACGATGGTTTGTAGGGTCTTGGTTAAAATGTTACCATGGAAACTAATGCACTAACCATCAATTGTAATGAATACCCTGGTTTTGTACTTATTAAGTCACAAGTAAGAAATACTTGGTTATCTCCTTCGTTCTGCTAAGTTCAGGAAAACAACTTTGCAACATGCGGTTATCATTTTTATTCATTATTTCTATTCATTATTTCTATTCATTAGTTCATCCCTTTGCAATGTCCCTGTATCCTAACGACATGAGTCTAGTATCACATAACCATTAGCATATTTCAACATGACAGTTTATATTTGTTTGTAATTTCCGGAAAACATGAAAATTTGCACTGCTCAAAAGAATATTTGAGAACACCCGTTTTTTTTATAAATGACAAAAGTAAATATGTCATGGTTATTGGATATTGCAACACACAGGCGTCCAGTTTTTGGTGTTTTTTTAACTGTTTTGAATAGTATATTTGAAATATATATAAGAGGTAGGAAAGATTATCTTAATCAACAATTTTAAAGCTTTTTCATGAAATTATTCAGTATTGTTTTGTCTCATTTGGTCTTACCATCCCCCAGATGCGTTCAATAACTCTTGTAGATACATAATTACAATCTATTGATGAGCGATCTGGTTGATCCAATGAGAAACCAATTACCTCAGTCTATTTAGATGTGAGTTAGTGGTTAATCATCGCGCCATGTGTGTCAAAAGTCATCAAGGCAGCCAAAAGCTGACCGATTGCGTGAATATCCTGTCTTCAATCGATAGGGATACAGTTGGCGATTTTACCTTTTAATATTTAATTGTTGTTGCCATGCCGTTGCATGCTATTTGTGCCACTACAGTCTGTAGGATAGCAGGATAATGTAGATCTGTGGGAATGAGATCGATTTTTAACGGTAGGATTGGCCTTTAGTCTTGATCACTGGGACGTCCTTATGAACAAAGGTTTTAATGGGATCGATATGCGTTTCTTCCGGCGTATATATTATTATTGGTTTAAGATGTGTATGTCGTTACGCTCTGATAGAGTTATCAATATTTGATGAAGTTCTTGTATAATAAAGGTGCTGTTTGGAATGACAAAAATTGCGATAAATGAAAAGCAAAAACAAATGCATAAATTATTATTTATTATTATTTGTCTTTACATGACCGTTCAACATGACTAGATATCTATCAATTTATCTATTTGAATTTCTTTGTCGAAATGACATCGAATTCGAGATTTGAATTCATACATTGTATATAGTTAATATAAGCTAAGTGTTATAGACAGTAGAGAGTCCGACAATGTTATATGGAATCCCATACACTTTAATTGATTTCAAACATATCTGTTGCATATTTTTCATTTATCTATTCTTTTTACTGCAATCACACTTTTTGAAAAAAGAGAGTGTGATCAAAATCCTGTCATATATATATATATATATATACATACATACATACATACATACATACATACATACATACATACATACATATATATATATACGTGTGTGTGTACTGAACACATTTATGCCCATTAACTATACTTTACCTAGCATATATCACCGCTGTATATTCCAAGGTGGTCATGTAGATCGCATGCTGTCATGATATCACACACGTGTATGCTATGTCGTGTTCATACAGCTGTACAAAATAACAATTACCGGTAAGTTATAATCATTTCTTAATCGCCTTTCAAATTTACTATTCTTTATCAAGAATCAAATCAATACGACCAACTTACCCTTCCTATGCTTGGAATCCGGCGCCATGTTAGAAGTCTCTCTACTCTCCTGCCATGGTACTATTGTTTATCGTCTCCAGCGGAAGTCAATATTCCGGATGCGTGCGCATATCGACGTCTGGTCACGCAAACAAGCGGAAAGATGAACGTACTTCTTGAACTCCTGTGTATGTTGTTGGGTTATTGTTTATTCTATACAATACTAATAACTCCTTTCATGAAGCGTTTCTTATGATGAAGCACACATTCTTTAAGGACATGCCTGTGATATTTTTGTAGCATATAAAATAATAACAAGTTCAATCATGTACAGTCAAGTGAATTACTAATGATTATATTGTCTTCCATAGGCACTGTCTTGTGTATGTAAATGTGGCGATGTTTGAAACAATAGTATCTAAAAAAAAGAAGACAGTAAACAAGTTTGTATATTGTGAACATTTTAGTGAACAGATTCATTGAGCGAAATTCGCAATTGCAAACTCATAAATATATAAATAGGTCAGGAAGCTATACATTAATGCAGCTGAACATGGAAATCGACGTCATACAATGCATCGTGCCCTAAACGCAGCCTGTGTATTCGAGTGAGTGAGTGAGTGAGTTGGGTTTAACGCCACTTTTAACAGTGTTCCAGTTATATTCAGCTTAATGTGGGAGGAAAGCCCGAAGTGATGCAGGTCTCAGACGTTTACCACTTCGGTGAAACCCACGAGCACGGGTATGGTGCTGACAAACCTATAAACATAACCGGAACCGGGATTCGAACCCACAATCATAGGTTTCTGGCGTGCCCAAGGGACGCAACTCTGCACAGCCACCCGTGCCCCCGTACTCGAGTTATGAATAAGCAACATAACAGCATGACGAGCCTCGTATGTAAAAAGCGTCCTATGAAGGAGTGAGTGAGTGAGTGAGTTTGATTTTACGTCGCTTTTAGAAATATTCATGCAATATTACCGCGGGTGACACTAGGACTAGGCTATTATGTAAGAGGAGCATGTGAAGTACACATATCCATATGTATTCAAATTGAAAGACATCCATAACGATGTATTGCATTTAAAATAGAGTGTCTTCTTGTTGAAGCATACACATTGAAACTAATTTCGTCTATTTGAATATTTGAAGTGTGAAGATTAGGTTGTTTAGGTTTGCAAAGACAGGCCACGTTCTAAACAAATGAGTTTCAAATGAAATAATTCATATGTTTGTTTTAATTTTTTATAAGGTATGTTGAAATAACTACTTTATCACAGTAAACATTGACAACAATTTGGAAGAAAAAGAAAATTAGTGGCGTGGCTTTCGAGCGTACTTGGTTTGTGTGGAAAAGTAATTTGTTGTTCATGTAGATCGATGGTTAACCCTTCTAAAGAAACATACGGTCACGACGGAGAACATCCACCCGGGAATCAAACAGATCCTACGGCGTCATATGCGAACGCTTTACCCATCAGGTCAACCACAGTTCCTCATGGGGGAAAACCTCAGGTACACACCACAGAATCATCAAAAAGTCGTATTATGTTTTGACAATTCACAGATGACATTTAAGTTTGTTCGTCTGTTTATAGTTTAACGCCGCACTCAGCAATATTCCAGCGATATGACGGAAGTCTGTAAATAACTGGTTTGGTCAAAACAATCACGTGATGAATATCATGAAATCGATCCATTCAATTGGGATTACATGCATCAACCACATCAGCGAACCTTACCACCCGTTCCCGTTAGACGCCTCTTACGACAAGCATGGGTTGCTGAAGACCAGTTCCCACCCGGATCTTCATGGGCCAGGTGACATTTATGATGAAATTAAGGATGGGATTAACACCACTGATCTAAAAAAGGGTTCGCCTAATTGTATTTGTAACATATACCATTCTTTATCAACATACGGTCTTGTAATCCGTGTTTCCATTACACGTGTCAGGTGTGCGTCCAGTATTGTTAATGTATGTGTTTACAAATAAAACAGATAAATATTCACCAGTCAGATCTTCGTCACGAGCACGATTTGTATCTTCATAATTTTGATGAGTTATACGACCAACACTTTCCTCTAACGTGTTTGTTGCCGCATCACTTGGAGGCAGCTTGGTGATACACTGATGCACAGGAAAAATCAATGGCAGTCGAATTGATATTCCCCAAACTATTCATGGTGATATTAGCAAGCACATTCTCCAGCTGGATTGTCGCTGTGTCACTGGCCACTTCACTTGGCGGCAGAATGCTGCTTCCATTTACCCTTGAAGAACTAGCACCAAATTCACCAGACGTATATCCGTCCAAAGTAGGACCCATCTGCCCTAAGCTGTGTAAGGTGAGAATGGCAAGCTCATTTTCCAGTTGGATTGTCGCTGTGTCACTGGCCACTTCACTTGGCGCCAGAATGCTGCTTCCATTTACCTTTGAAGATTTAGCACCAAATTCACCAGACGTATATCCGTCCAAAGTAGGACCCATCGGCCCTAAGCTGTGTAAGGTGAGAACGGCAAGCTCGTTTTCCAGTTGGATTGTCGCTGTGTCACTGGCCACTTCACTTGGCGCCAGAATGCTGCTTCCATTTACCTTTGAAGATTTAGCACCAAATTCACCAGACGTATATCCGTCAAAAGAAGGGTTCATTTGTTCTAAGCTATGCAAGGCGAGAACGGCAAGCTCATTTTCCAGTTGGATTGTCGCTGTGTCACTGGCCACTTCACTTGGCGGCAGAATGCTGCTTCCATTTACCCTTGAAGAACTAGCACCAAATTCACCAGACGTATATCCGTCCAAAGTAGGACCCATCTGCCCTAAGCTGTGTAAGGTGAGAATGGCAAGCTCATTTTCCAGTTGGATTGTCGCTGTGTCACTGGCCACTTCACTTGGCGCCAGAATACTGCTTCCATTTACCTTTGAAGATTTAGCACCAAATTCACCAGACGTATATCCGTCCAAAGTAGGACCCATCGGCCCTAAGCTGTGTAAGGTGAGAACGGCAAGCTCGTTGTCCAGTTGGATTGTCGCTGTGTCACTGGCCACTTCACTTGGGGCCAGAATGCTGCTTCCATTTACCTTTGAAGATTTAGCACCAAATTCAACAGACGCATATCCGTCAAAAGAAGGGTTCATTTGTCCTAAGCTATGCAAGGTGAGAACGGCAAGCTCATTCTCCAGTTGGCTTGTCGCTATGTCACTAGCAATATCACTTGGCGGCAGAATGCTGCTTCCAAGTTTCCTTGAAGCTTCAGCACCAAATTCAGGAGATCTGTATCTGTCCACAGTCGGGTTTATTTGCCCTAAGCCATCGGCAGTGAGAACGGCATGCCCATTCTCCAACTGGCTCGTAGCAATGTCTCTTGTAGCATCCCTTGGGAGCAGAATGTCGCTTTCATCATTTACACTTACGGGAAAAAAGTCGAAATCTTTCAAAACAATATTACCGGCTTCGTCAGAAATAGAACTGTCATACGTAGGATTAATAGTTGGACGTAAGTTTTCTATGTTTGACTCTAATGGCGGCGCACGATAACGTTGATCGAAGGGATATTGGTGACTTTGAACAACTTCCCAACGTGCGGTTTGATGAGGGTCGGGATTGTTGAAACTGCGTGAAAGATTCCTGTCAGGCTCGGACACAGAACAGAAGTCGTCACCTGACTCTGCACATGCCGCTACTTGGATCGCTTCTGAAGCGAACCATTGTGGGTTAGCTATTTGATATTTCCTTGACTTCATAATAAGCTCTTGAAGTCCTTTGATTTCAAATATATTTTCCAGAGTGCCATGAATGTTATTTTCAGCCTCTTCTCCGCCCTGTATGCCGTGGATATGATTTAGAAGGCCAGGTAATTCTTCCGGCACTTGATACTCCACTGCAGGATTAATATCCTTAATGAAGAACTGTTCCTCTGTATAAGCAAAGTGAATAAACAAAAAGCGCTGAAAATATGCATCATCTGATTTTTTGGCTTGCATGTGAGATATGGCTGTGTTGAATGCAGTATGCCCAATGGTGTCTCGGCTTCTTGCCTCATATGTTTCAAATGCAATTCGGGAATTAACAACAATGATGAAGTCTGCGACATCCATGTGATGAAGTACCCATTCTCCAGCATCTTCCGGCTCAATTTTCCCCTTCTCCCATGGTAGGTAAGATACGTAGCATCCACAAGAATTGTGTAGGAACAGTGCCAACTCGGACACCACTTTTGTATGGTACTGATGATCTTCAGTATTCAGTAGGATAACCTTTATTCCTGAAATGAATATTAAGTTGTAATGACGTGGTCTATATGTGAAATAGTTCTGGCAACAATTTGAATTTGAAATATTTCTGTATTTCATAAAGCCACAACAAGCGGATTACACATTCCGTTTAAATACATTCAGTCTATGTTCGTTAATTATTTTCAAAAAGATTTTCAAAAAGGTGGTGTGGCCAAAAGGACTCCCAAAATCAGTAAGACAAAATGAAATCTAACACAATCAATATATACCAACCTCATGATAAAATTATGGCATCTGACTGATGTTAATATGCAAGTGTTTCAATCTTTGATAACAATTAATTCTCTGCATAATAACTTTTGTGAAAGAGTTCACCAAGCATCAAAATATGTCAACTTCCCGAGGCAAGGGAGTAAACTAAAAGTACAGTTTCCACCCTTGCCGAACTAGGCTGGAATTTCGAGGCTCAACCGTTGCGCCACCAGTGGCCATTACGAGTTATGTCCCTTCCATATCCCTCCTATTGACCAAGCAGATACCAACTCACATATCACTAGCATTTGCTTCAAGCAAAATGACGGCGCCCAGTCAAGGCGATCTGATTGATAATCAAGATATTTATTGTGATAAAACGGGTCTTATCTCGCGAAGTGCACCAAATCACTTGAGCACCTTCATTAAAAACATGAATATATTTGGGAAATATCTGTCGACGGCCAATTGACGGCCAATATGCTCTGCAAATCATGCAGTCGAACGAAATCTGAACGGCAGTCGCTATGTTGTTTATGAACCGGATGTCGATTTAGTTACGAGACTTTGATTGGACTCGTTGATAGACTCGTTAGTCCAGCCAACATATAACTCCATCATTCCTGCCAAGTTCGGCAAGAGTGAAAACCTGACCGTTACAGTCGGCTACCTCCATTGCCTCGGGAAGACGAACATTGATAGACATGATACCAGCGTTAGCGTTGTGTACCAATCTGACTTTTCCTCTTTTTTCCTCTTTGGAGGATGTTACCTTGGTTATTATTTCTCTTCTGCCACTGTTCCAGGAATCGTTTCCCACTTCGAACTGGAAGAAATACAAATAATAACGTTATAGCATATGCCAAGTCCTGGATCTAGTTTTGGAGCTACATGCAATTACAACAACATTTGACGGGTACAAGGTACTAAAATAGGTCTTCCGTATTATCCTTAAACATTAGATGTTGTATTTGATTCAACTGGATCACATGTCAATTATATTTAAGGGCAAAAGTGGCTGCGTTCATATGCATCAAAATGTAATTCTTTAGAATCACATGACCAAGAACATTTTGCAGGATAAATACGCGGAAGTTTATGTAATGGAGTTTAAATCTTCAAAGACTATCTGATGATTTGTTACGTTTGACAATCGCAATATTAAGTTATATAAGTATTTAGAGTTCTGGTACGTGCAAACAGAAAACCTTTTTATAACCTAATAGTAACTACATGTATTATGCACAATTATTTTATAAACGGATACGTTCACTTTTCCAAAATATATAAAAGGATGTATGCACTTAATGGACATAATGAAGTATTGAACAATTTGTTTTCGTATATATTGTCATTTTTGGTGTCCTCCGCCGTGATGCTGCTGGAATATTGCTAAAGCGGCGTAAATCTATACTAACTCACTTGTTATATATTGCATGCACACATGTTCTGAAGAGTTTTAAAAAAAACATAACAAACCTTTTATATAACGATTTATCCGAAAAACAGCCACTATGCCCGCTACTATAACCCCTATGACAACACCGAGTACAGAGGCCACTATGTCTCCAATGCGGTCTAGTGCAGCAGGGGGAGACACAGGGATGATGGTCGTATTGGTGATGTCTGCACCTGGGACTACAATAAAACAACATCATCACTCAGTCAATAGTACATATGCTCACCTCCAAACGAAACGCGAACAATCGAAACATAATAGAGACGTACATTGTATGTACGTTAAGAGACAAGTTTCGAATGTGTACCACTTTATGTCAAAACTAACAATCAGTCAAATGTTACCACAGAGTGTCTTTGTTGTTATATTGTCTTTATCACGATATGCCGCACGTAATTTCCAAACTTTTCACGCTAATCCTGCACGAGACAAATCGTGCATCTCGAGTTATGGATCTATGACGTCACATTTGATGCGTTCATGAGCATCGGTTCACACAACATACCAGTATGTTCGTGTGCACATCAAACCAACCTTGAACCTCTTGAATATGAGTAATTCTTAATATATTAACCAAAATGTATGGTATTCGCGTTTCTTATGTAGGTGTGTATATATATATATATATTGTGTATAGGCACACCGCCTAATCATCTGTTTAGTACACGTATTAGTTGTGTACAACGAAGTTTGCAATTACAGTAAACTACGGTTATAACGAACTCAAAGGGACTACTAGTTTTAGTTCGTTATAACCGTAGTTCGTTATAAGCATATATACAGCATAACTACAGCAAATAGTCGGGACTAAAAAGTTAGTTCGTTATATCCGTCAGTTCGTTATAAGCGTGTTCGTTATAACCGTAGTTTACTGTAGTATAAAAAAAGGTTGAATAATGATAATGATAAAGAATGTACTAAGTAAGGACTGATATGCATGTATGGATGACGTTTCGGTATAGTGAGTGAGTGCGTATGGTTTTACGCCGCTTTTAGCAATATTCCAGCAATATCACGGCGGGGGACACCAGAAATGGCTTCACACATTGTACCCATGTCGGGAATCGAACCCGGGTCTTCAGCGTGACGAGCGAACGCTATAACCACTAGGCTACCCGACCGCCCCGTTTCGGTATAGGTTCCAACACCGTTATAAAGCAAGTGATGTACACAGTATGGTTGACAAGCACGTATACAGGTATGAGGAAGTGTTTATACAGTTGAGTAGGTTTGGATGTACAGTTAGATTACAATGGAGTGGAGAAAACAGTTATGTACACAAGACGGTTGAAACAGGGTAAACATCCATGGGAAAGCCAGCAATATAAGCAATTGTAACGACGTCAAATCTACTCAATTGTTTCAGTTTATCTCATGTGTATATCATTACATTATGTATTTTAATGTTCGAAATAATAAAACGCCTAACGGGTTTTGTTATGGTTGTGGTGCTCCTAGTGGTATGAGGATAAAATAATCATAACAAGAAAGAAAAAGACTAATAAGTATTAGGCCAATGTTATGATATGAACATGTTACATAATACTCACCAACAGTAAATGTAGAAGTAACTGTGTCGAGACACCCCTGGCACACCCTGTTACCATTAGCAACAGAAGCGTAACACAGGCACTTACTGTCATCCATGCTATAAGGATCTACTGGTTGTATCTGACAAGGAAAAATGTGCTCTGTTATGTTTTTTTCTGGTAATTACGAAAATATCGTGTCAAAACGGATCAATGTTTATTTGTTTGCAGCCAGAAGGCACGAGACCAGTTTACACAGTATCAGTATAAGCAGCAAATGTATTACGCTGCTTTAAACTTGGTTCGTTTTACCGTTAATTGTATTGATTTTGTTTTGTAAGTTTATAGTAAAATAAACAAATCTAACATTCAATTTAACGAAAAGAATGTATGGATATTTATTTATAATATTTATTACCCCTTTAATCATTCTGTAATCACACAAATACAGCTTCAATACAAATATGTCATTCTCATATACCTTTCAATAAGTCAACTTTACCATATGGCATACCCCTTTAATCATTCCGGAATCACCCAATACAGCTTAATTACAAATAGTACATTCTCACACACAAAGCTGCGTTGCACTCAACTCATTCACAGAGGTATTCTGTTACACGTGCGTGTACATGTGCACCCTATCTTCTGAAGGTTGGTCATAAAAATCACACGTCTTTTTTCAGGTCAAATAGTATTTGTTTGCAAATTGAAAGGCTCGGCAAAGGGTTTTTAAACATACATGGATAGTATATTCTCCGGTCGAAATGTTGCTGAATGAAGCAAGAACCGTGGTATCGTTTTGTGAAGGAGGTTGCAATTCCTGAAATTGAGAAACCAGTGTAAATATTCACGACACCAGGTGGTTCATATGTTGAAGGAGGCGGTGTTAAAACAGTGGTATCAGGATACAAGGTCTAGCCATAGTCGTTGAACCTTTGCTTCGAACCTTATATTTACACCTTAATAATTCTAGCATCACAACTTCCATTGTGTATTTAACTGAAACTGGTGTGTGTGTGTGTGTGTGTGTGTGTGTGTGTGTGTGTGTGTGTGTGTGTGTGTGTGTGTGTGTGTGTGTGTGTGTGTGTGTGTGTGTGTGTGCGTGTGTGCGTGTGTGTGTGTGTTCCATTTACCACATAATACATCCGAATCCCATGATTCTGAAATGGTATCACCAACCCATACACACTAACCTGTTTCGAATTATGGCGTAGTGTATGCACTTACAATGGATAATGTTATTGGTGCAATATACCAATGCGATAAAACATCATATCACGATGCAATACATAAGCAATCATTTCACCAAGCAGGAAGTACGTTGTAATCTTAATCCATCGATTGAATATCTGCTTGCTCGGTAAACTATTGACTAATGATAGCCACAATTGGTGAACACAAACAGGGATCTTCGATGTCAGATGATTATGTAAACAAACATGTCTACAAATCATATGGCACTATAGTGTAAGAGGAACCCAACCACACTATATTCAAAAGCGGTTCTAAAGATACTTCATTGTGAAATTAAAGATAGATTATTTATGAAAAAGGGGATATTATCCACGTGTATTTCCGAATCGTTAATGTCAAATCTTTGAAGCAAAGTGTATAATTCTAAATATATGATATTCATGAAGCAGACAGGCACTACTGACAAATAACTTTTACAACATAAACATTTTATATGTACGTTATTTAGTAATTTATTACGTTATTTGTTAATATGTGTGTTCAACTATGATCAACCCGATTTTATTAACAGTTAGCTTCAACTTCATATTTTAAAAGGAATCTATTTTTTTATACATGTACGTCGCTGTATACATCATGCAAGCTCAAACATCATCCGTGGGGATCGCCTCCGTGGTCTAGTGGTAGAGCGTCCGCCCGGAGAGCGGAAGGTCCGGGGTTCGATCCCCCGCCGCGTCATACCAAAAGACGTAAAAAGATGTCTGGCGCTCGGCATTAAGCGCCTCGGAGTCACTAAACTGTGTCTGAGTAGGGTATTCATGTTAAACTGCGGCATGGTATCTCAGTGGGCTAGCACTATAAATCGGCATCAGTCCGGACTAGTACAAGCAGCCACACACACACACACACACGTCGCTATATAAGTGCAATAATCTTGGACGCGACTTTAAACCCAATTTCACCTCACCTCACCTCACCTCACCTCACCTCATCCGTGGGTGTCATGACACAGATCGTGTTGCGTGCCTATATTTCAGTTTGTGACCACAAAACAGGATAACGTTATCGTTCAAATAAATATAATGCAATCTAAAAAATATTTCATCTGCACCTGAGAGGGCCGATTTGGTGTTTGAAAGGGGGTGAGTCAATTAAAATGAGTATTATATATATGAGATGACAAAAACTACTTTAAAACTCACCCTGTCCTGGCATTTGTAATGTGATGTGGTCAACACGCGGCAAGTAGCAATAGCGTTAAGACTGTCACCCGTAAGCACCAGCATCACTATGTATTCACTAAAGCCGTATCTAGAAGGTGCTAGACTGAACCTGGCCTCAATAGTTGCAGGTGCGGTGAAGTTCACCTCATCGTAGGATATAAACGGCGTCCAGTTACTTGCAGGTATAACTGTTCCCTCTGAAAACAATTACAAATCCGTGCATGTGTCACGTTGTGTCAAATTCAAATGTTAATTTAGGTTTTACTTTGATCTTTGGGACATCGTTCATCGTTTTGTTAACTGTCCTGAAACTGTCAGACATAATAACCATGAAAATTATTTTATTGCATAAAAATGTACTAACGAGCAGCTTCAAAATCGTGAGGAAATGTTCTAGGTATATATATATAAGCAATCGATTTGTTTGACCTCAAACTAGATGGACTGCGTAAAATCGGCACAAGTCGGTATATCAAGTTTGATGATGACCATTGAAAAACAAATCCTTACTTTGAACAGGCTGCAGTGTGAAGAACTTGGTCAGTCTGACATCTGGTGAGTGATGTGGGAGAGACGTTAGATGGAGCTGATACAGCAGATGTGAACCGCCAGGGAACCCAACCAGTTTCTTCTGGAACTTCAACTGTATAATATGGTTTAATGAAAGATTAAAGAAACCGTTTGTGGATGTGGAACACATATGGTTCTCTTCATGGGGTTAATTCCAGCATTTTGATCCTTCATTTGCCAGCACCATGGTATTTAATGTTGCATGCAATTTTTTAGCAACACTCCAGGAGTCAACTAGGATTGACTTCACTTCAAACTCAGACCATGGCCATGCTATTTTACATTATTTTCTTAGAAACAAGTTCAGTAATGAAAGTGTCGTATCATGTGCTGACGTACCTTGTCATCGCTTGCACTGAACCTTGTGGAAGAAAAATCCAATATTCTGCACAGAGAGGAAGTGATGTTGTTCATTCTGTCGTACTTCCGAATTTCAAGAAGAAACCCTTTCAGGTTGTCAATCCGTGAGTCTGTAACACGATAGACATGCAACTCTTATAACATCAAACACACCTTATACGTGCATTGTCTTCACTGCTCGACTCTGTTGAATGACTTTCGTGTAAGGATACAATCTGACATCGTCAAGTCGAAGACATCGAATAGATAATACAATGAATTATCCGTAGTTCGAGACAATGGTGGTCTTTTACATTAAAAACCATCATGCTAACAGACCGTTTCTGTGGTCGGCGTGACGAGCGAACACTTTAACCACTAGGCTACCCGACCGCCCCTCAATATATATGACCGTCACGAGAGAAGTACATATTTCGTTTCAAAACTGCAAATGTGATATATATATTAAACAGTAGCTGGTATTAAAATGCGGTTAAGCATGCCATATATTCGGATTTGACTTTCCCCTCAGTGTTAGCATAAGCCTAGAATGAGACCAGCAGATGACTCTATTAGGGAGTGGCATTCCTCATGTTGACAGGCCTAAATCATACATATGAACAAAACGCCTCCTGTCGCATGATACAACTGAACACAGCAGTTAGCTACGGGATTTCGAAGGATGTCGGCTTTTAAATCACGACAGTCCTAGGGCTACGAACACTTCGTGGATCGGGACCCTGAGTAGCAAAGTCCTGAATAATACCAGTCCCTTCTGGTATGAATTTGAGGCACAGGTGGACCAGTCGTCTAATGCGCCGCAATTCGCTGTGCAGAGTTGTGTCCAGTAGGTACACCAGAAACCGAAGATGTCTCTAGGTTTGCCAGCACTGTGCCATGTGTTCGCATGTTTTACCATAGTGGTTATCGAATGAGACCTGCATCACTTCGGGCTTTCCTCCCACGTTACGCTGACATTCCGTGATATACCATGAATACTGTTCAAAGCGGCGTTGAGCCCAACTCATGCACTCACACTAATATATATTTTGTTCTTAATACTATCAGTCTAATATTATGTCGTGAACGTCGTGATATCAGGAGTAGGATCAAATGCAATCTAGCATTGCTACATAAATTTACAGTGTTTACCGTTATTCGCTGTTGACCATGTTATGATAATCTGAGGACAACTGTTGTTTTGTGGGTCTCTAATAAACACTCCGTCCACTGACAGCGACGTTGGAGCTGTTGCTGTGTCGTTGCCTTCTAGGTGGGAGGGAAGACTGTCGTTGCATCCTATACAACAATGCATGAGTATTGAGTATCGGAATGCAAATAGAGGATAACTGTGTAGCTACATGAAGTAATAAGACCTTTACTATAGTTCTCTTCGAACACGGCGTTGTCATTGATTAGGCAATATAGGTTCTACTACACCAAATCAGAATCAGTTTGGATTGTGCGGTTTTCGCAGGGAGCCTTCAGTGCAGATCGAGAGATATCTGCAGGCTGTGATTGGAGGATATTCTGTAAGATTTTTATGTCTTTCAAATGTACATCCATCCAGTTATTAAAACTGACCATGTTTTTCTATATTTAGCACTGTCTTTTTCAACATGATGACTTATGCTGAATGTGACCACAGCTATTTTTTTAAGTACGTGACATTTGGTGCGAAACTGGGGGTGGTGTGTTTAGCTTCCTGTACTCGGAAAAGGAGCTGGTTAAGCTTGTCATTTTTTCTTTGTATTGCTCCTCCTAGGCCAAACTGTGCACACACGTACAGGTAATAGCTGTTGAATGCTTAGTTATTTAAAAACAAAGTATAACGTTACTATAGAAGTCTATGGGAAAACATTTGGTTGTGTGTAACCTGTTTACTGCGCGGCTTTGTTGCTTCATATCCTTCTGGAAATGAGGGATTGTTATTTGACGCAGCAATACTTCAGCTGTATCACGACAGTCTATCAATAGTCGAGGCAGACAAAGTCCACAGTGGTAATGCGATCACCCACGCAGTCGTGGTGGATAACCTGGCGACCCTAGGCGATTAAACAACTGAGTCTGTAGTTACTCTTGTGGTCGCTGGGAATATATTCTAACGCGGAAGCCCAATTCAGTCATTCGTGCAGTGTTCTGCAACAGCTCATTATTCAGAAGCCATACATGCACAATGGGCGACAATAACTACACATAGATAAGCGTAAATATCTAAAATTGAGTGAATATACACATGGAATCAGGAATAACAACTGTAATGAAAACACATTTTATTATCATCAGTATTATACGATAAGGCTTGTCAGACGGAATGTTTATTGACAGAACGAGGAACCTACGCTCAGTATTCCACATGGTGCAGACCAAAGGCTTTCTCTGCAATACAATGAGAAACGAGGCTGTAAATGCATTTTAAATTTTAAAAAAGGTATTATGACTACACCTCTCCATACACACACATATCCTTTAGTGTACAACAGGTTTGTGTTTATGCATTGACCCGTGTTCAATTTCACTGACCAATTGAGCAATCGTTGGGGAAGTTGGATTGCGTATCTCTAAACGGAGTTTTGTAATGATTATAATGACGCGTTAAAAATTGAAATTATGAATGGTCATTTTTCAAACTTAGTCATTTTTTACATGATCTTTGTCTCATGCATACAGTGTATACAAACACACCTTCTCCACAGCGTGTGAGGAACGCGAAGACATATTAATAATTCAGACGCTGTGGTACATATATTTTGAATATAGATTCATAAAACTCGTCCAGTACCAAGTGTGTTCGTCTTGACGGTCACCTTTTCAGATACGAATCGAACTCGCTCGCAAATATAACCCATTGCTGTCCATGATTCAGAGATTAGTTGTCTTTGTATTCGTCACTACCTTTTTGCAAAATATGCGGGCAAAATACAATAATACATTTATATCCATAACACGTTAAGTGCTCTTTTCAGCAAGAAATGTCTTGTATCTTTACCAAAATGAAGCAAATGTATGTTCAACAGTTCTCCGGTGCAAGACAAAAGACAATTTTAGGATTGGAAATTCAATATTGCTTCTTCCAAACCCTCCTTTGCACTTATACGGAAACACTTAATTTTATTCGCTCAGTGATTAAATTTACTCACCGGTTTACCCCATACTGCAAGCGGTTCAGGGGGGAAATCTCTTGAACAGTTTCCCTGGACAGCAATTTCTCCATTTGAAATCATGACAGGTACTGGAAACATAAACCAAGCTGAGTATGACCACAGTCAATATAAAATTGATTGAAATAGGTACTATTTTCAATTGAAACATTAAACTAAAATATAGACAGGACAAGTTTTGCTTTATTGACATAGGCCAAAACAGTTTACACGAAGAACAATATTTCGCATGGCAAGAATAAACTACCACCTAGAGCTGATCTCATATCCCCATATACTTGTGATTGCTTATTTTGTTTCAAATTGAGATAACTGATATCGTGTTCATGGGCAACAAATAAATCTTATAAACCCCTTCAAGGATCCTAGCTCACCTCTGAGGAAAGGTAAACGGTTAGTTTTCTTCCTTACCTTGTGCAGAAGTGGCAGGTCGAAGTGTGGTATTTGGGTATTCCGCAACCGATACTGGAATTGTACAAAAATACCACATGTTAATATTTAAGTCATCCATTAATGTAATGGAATATTGGAATAATTTCAAAGTAGTTGTAGTAGAATTTCTTCCATCCGTACCTTTTGCGGTAACCGTAGGTGCCAGGGATGACGTTGTGGATGTTGATGTCGCATTTTTGACATTGGTTGCTGGAATGACATAAACGGAGATTGAGGTGATTGAGGTAGGGTTAACGCGGATTTGAACAGTTTGTCAGTAGCATTGTTCACATCGACGTGTACACTTAATATTAGTGGGGTGAGAGAGTGAGTGACTTGGGTTTAAAGCCGCTTTTGATAGTATTCCAGTTATATCATGAAGGAAAACCCGAAGTGATGCAGGTCTCAGACGTTTACCACGTCGGTGAAACCCACGAGCACGGGTATGGTGCTGACTAACCTAGAAACATAATCGGAGCGAACCGGGATTCGAACCCACACGCATGGGTGTCTGGCGTGCCCAAGGGACGCAACTCTGCACAGCGGATCGCGGCGCCTTAGACGACTGGGCCACCCGTGTCCGCTTAATGTTAATTGAATGCTGAATATGTCACACGCGGGACACGGGAAGGCAGCTGATAGGCGAAGATACAAAATGTTAGGGAATATTGGTTCGAATCCCCGGTCAGCGGATCCTACAAAGGATAGGGTGCGCAACTCTGAACAGTGAATTGTTGCGCTTATACCACCGTATGGCCTGTTACGAATACATCAATTATAATGGCTACATACACACGTCTTAAATCTGGCCAGGCTTTACAATCTTATCATTTATTGTGTTATCAGATTGAGCAGAAAATGAACACGCCACCATGCAGTTAAATAACATCAATTACATTATGAGAAATGAGATCACAATAACCGGAGTGGTAAAATAAGCAAAACAGAAGAATTTATGTGAGGTGAGGTGAACTGGGTTGCGTTCAAGATTATTGCCGTGTGTGTGTATGTGTCTGCTTGCACTAATGCCGATGTTATAGAGCTAGTCTACAGGGAAACCATGCCGCAGTTTAACATGAATACCCCACTCTGAGCCGACCAGTCCTTGTTTTAGCCCCCTCTATCAACGCCGAGGGTAATAACACGTACCATCTTTGAACGTGTTTTGGTATGACGCGGCCTGGAATCAAAGCCCCAACTCTCTACAATAAGACCACGGACACAGTCCGGAATGATTTATGTCCGCACCAGTAGTAATTGGTTATAGTTGCTGCCTGTAATAGAGTGAGATAGTGAGTGAGTTGAGTTTATCGCCGCTTTTAACAGTATTCCAGTTATATCACGGCGTGTCAGCTTAATGCGTGAGGAAAGCCCGAAGTGATGCAGGTCTCAGACGTTTACCACTTCAGTGAGACCACGCACCCCCCCCCCCCCCCCCCCCCCTCCCCTCAACACACACACACAAGCACGGGTATGGTGCTGACAAACCTAGAAACATAATCAGGGCGAACCGGGATTCGAACACACAATCAAAGGTTCCTGGCGTTACCAAGGGACGGAACTCTGCAGACGACTGGTTCACTGCATGAGAGACAGGACAACATAACGATCCCGTGATAAATCGTTCCGTAACATAATAAATAGGATATCACTAACATAAACTATGGTGGAATAGAAAATAAACACTTGAAATCTGTATTTGACATTACACACGTCAACAAAACGTTACCAGACTGACGACAATGGCCGAAACACTGCAAACTTTAAAGTTGCAAATTAAAACACCACTATTGTAACCGTATCTATTACATCACCATCGAATTAACATTTGTTTATGTGTAAACTTTCTTTTCCCTTTTATGTTTGATAGTTTAAATGCAATACGGTAATTGTTACATCGATACCTGGTGTCGCTGTCGTGGTAGACACGGATGAGGTGGTGGTAGATGTGAGATCTGTATTGGAGGCTGGAAAAAAAAAAGCATCATCCTATAATTGGTTATTGTTGCATCGACTATACCAGAAGGATAAACCAAAAAGGGACCCAAGTTAGAATAGTCCCCGGTTCCCTATTGCCGATCGTGAGCGATATGGTTGTCAGGCTCTATGATGTGGCTGCTTGCTTGTCATAATAAATAATAATAATAATAAGTGCATTTATAATGCGCTAGATTCCATTCACCAAGTGGATGCTCATAGCGCTACACTATTATTACCCCGGTCAATGGATCAGTGAGCACTCGATTTTCATTCTCAGCTCCCTGGGGAGTATACAACCAAAGCTGCCTGTGGGGCGCTAGAAGGTTAACAGCCACATCCTACCGGGTACCCACAAACTGCTGGGTGAACAGAGGCACATTTCGAACAAAGTCACTTGCCTATGGAGACACCACATGTGGTACATGTGCTTCAGTGTGGGACAAGACCGAAGCCCTAGAAACTCTCAGGAGTAAATTAAAGCTAGCTAGTAAACGTGGTCACCCATCATCAAACCCAGATAGGGGCCGTTGGCGTAGCCCAGAGATTAAAGCGTTCCCTTTCTTGTGTTTCCAGATGTGACATTACTGGAATATTGCTTAACGCGGCGTCAAACCATACTCACTCACTCGAGATCCGAGGGGTGTGGGTTTTGATGCTCACGTTTGCAATCACTGGCTTGTTTGGTCGGCTCTAGTATTTACAGACCGCCGTCACTGGAATATTTGCAGTATTGGGCTGCGGCATTTACTTACAAAGCCAAAACACCCTGTAAAAATGTGATAATGGCCCCCTGTATGCCGAGCAAACAGAGCATTAAAATACTGCATTATCGACAATGTCATGATCATTTCATGCAGTATATTAACAGCAAGAACATTTTTCAACACAATATCTATCACCGTGTAACCTCCGCCATTGTTGAAGGTTCAAGAACAGAATAATAACATGTGGCAGCATCTGTACCTAGACCAACATCAGGAGAAGCCCGAGGGATGTTGTTGTGTTGTTGTACGTCAACTGGATGTATGTCTTGAAGTCGAGTTTAATAGAAAGAATCTCAATGTAAATTGTATACCCTTTCAGCTGAATGCGATAAGAAACTAAATGTACTCACAAAAATTATTTTTTAACACCCGTACCTATTTGAGTAGTGGTGTTTGCCCGTGGTGACGACGTCGTGTTGGCGATGTCTGTATTGGCAACTGCAATAAAGATAAACGTATGTGTGCTTAAATTGTTCTACAGTGACATATTTTGCAGTTTGGTTGCAACAAAAAAAATTAAAATGATCGTCATTAAATGGCACGTGTGTGTTAAAGACTACTTCTTAGTAAGTCACAGTGACAGGTTGTCGTAATACATTTTAGTTACCTCAAGTACAGGACGCCAAAATGGCCGACACCATCAACGTGACAGCGGATATTTCCGAAGTTATCAACGAACCTGTGTCGATTAGGCGTGAACATCATTAAAAATTGGCCGATCATTCAGAGGTGACTATGAGAGTTTGTGTATATATCGAAGTCAAATCTCAGATCGATGTGGAATTTCAATGAATGTAGGCGTCAGTCAGTCTAGGCATTGTTCGAGTCAATAGTTTGGATGTGCATTGCTTCATTTTGTTCGCGATGATGGGTCGTAGCGAGCATATAAGTTGACAAGCATGCAGTCAAATACTGTGACTTATGAGACACAAACATGTTCAACATGGTCAATATGTAGTTGCGAGCCTTACCGACAGTGAACACAGCAGAGGATGTATCAAGACACGACTGACATTGTCTCACATCATTAGCACCGGTATGGCACAAACACCTGGCGTCATCCTGCCTATAGGGGTCCACAGGTTGTATCTGACAAGAGAGAGTAAATGTTTACTTACATCATCATCATCATCATCATCATCATCGTCGTCGTCGTCGTCGTCGTCGTCATCATACCATCATCATCATCATCGTCGTCGTCGTCGTCGTCGTCGTCATCATACCACCACCACCATCATCATCATCATCATCGTCGTCGTCGTCGTCGTCGTCATCATCATCATACCACTACCATCATCATCATCATTATCATCATACAACAACCATCATCATCATCATCATCGTCGTCGTCGTCATCATCATCATCATTAAAATATGATCATCATCATCATAATCATCGTCGTCGTCGTCACCACCACCAACAACAACATCATCATTATTTTGAGTCAGGACAATGAAATACCCCGTTGAGTTAATTATTACTGAATGTGTCTTCATACATACATGGATGACGTATTCCCCAGCTGCAATATCTCTGAAGGAAGCTAGGAATGTGGTCTCATTCTGGGAAGGGGGATCAAATTCCTGAAATTAAAACATGATGGTAACCTTATTACCATTATGTTTAGTTTTTATCGGAGACGTGGATATTACGTATCTCAAGTTTCTCAAGACATGTCAGAATAACATGTTTAATAATATTTAATGGACAATAATTATATATCAGTAAGACAGGCACTGGTTTGTTAATCTTACATAAAATATAATATACCATACGTGTTAATAGGTAATAAATGTAAACACACTATATTGTTAAGGTCGAATAGAATGGCACCATGCGGGCTCCTAATGTGGGCTGATGTTAGATATGTAAATATATGTTATAAGTGAAATATTATGTATCACAGATATCACTTTTATTCTGTTTATAATTACGGCATTCCTTGTACTAAACCATAACAATGACACCATACATTGTCATTGAGACACACATAACTATTTCAGCAGCATGAAATTTCTCTGAGATAACGTCTACAAATGTTAATTCACAGTAACGTACGCCTGCAAGGAAGTCAAAGGGCAACTCAAGTAACGGCAAACCAAAGTTGATTGAATAGGCGTGCTTACTCAACCACAGCAGGAATGTATAAGTGTTGTGAGGAAGGTAACGTTATTTACCTCCATTGGAGGTCATTTTCCTTGAGGAAAACAACTGGCATCAACTTGTTTACTCAGATCATAGTGTCATTTGGTACTCACGCCCTCATTATACTAAGCTTGTGAGAGATGTATGATATGAATGATATTAATATTTGAGATGAACTATTGAAAATGTTACACACGTCCCTAAACCTAAACGAGAATGGGCTTGGTCAGCAATCAGCATAATGTGTGAGGACGCTTGTAATAATCCGTACCCTAATATTTCTGAGGGGGGTAAGTTCACACAGCGAATTATGGGACCTTATATCCCATTTGCTACCTTTATGTTACCCAGGAACTTAAATAACCAACCATAAAAGGCGCACCGCGATAAACATTCCGCTTTTGCTTATGGAAGTGTATACATGTTATGGAAGTATATACATGTATACTTTTTGGAAAAACGTTACCTGTGATAGGGTTTATTATCACAAGTTACCTAAACTGTGCTTAGTAATGTTCAACTTGAAACAAGTTGGATAAGACGTGAGAGGATTATTATCAAATAATTATAATTATGAGATTATGCCATGAGCATGACACATTCATTGTACACTACCTATCTCAATGGGCCAACATATTTAGGTCGGTGCAATTTCCAAAGGATATTGAAATATAGTGGGAGTCACAGAGTCACGTGAGTCTTCTGGGGAGCCGCCATTCGCCGTGCTTATCAGAGTTGAGTACTTCAGCCTTTAATCGTGGTTTCGAATCCCCACTGTTCCTCAATATGTTTGTAGATTTGTCAGCACCGTCCCCGTGCTCGTGGGCTTCACCAAAGTGATACACGCCTTAAACATGCATATAGTCAACATTTCCACAAAAAACCGCGCTGAACCAATTTCATTCACTAATTCACGCAATTAAATAAGACATACTTGGTCATATTGATTTCAACTCACCCTATGTTGGCAATGGTAGCTGGAATTGACAGATAAATGGCAAGTAGCTACGGCATTAAGACTGTCATTCTTGAACGCCAGCATCACTGTGTATTGTCTGAAGCCATATCTAGAGGGTGCTAGGCTGAATCTGGCCTCGATAGTAGCAGGTGCAGTAAACAGTATTTCATCATAGGATATAAAAGGTATCCAGTTACTTGCAGGTATCTCTGTTCCGCCTGAAAGCAATTGCAGCAATATTATAGTACATGTCGAAACTAAAATATTATTTTGATATTTTGCACATAGTAAATAATGAAATCGAACGAGATACTTTATCGGTTAATTGATTGGAACATAAGTTATTTGTCGTGTCAGCTGAACCGTTAGAAAATACGGTAACTACCTAAACTACGTAAACATGAAAGAGTGTACAGCGTCGCCATGCACGTCAAGGATCTGGACCTGTAACGTATACACGGGAACGTCCCTACGGTTTATCCTCACGATCAACCAGAACGCTGAGATCAGAGATCAGATGATTGAGATTAATTATTCCACTAATTTAAAACATGAAAGTCAAATTCTGAAATGACGTGGTCTGTGACGACCAGAAGAATTATGGTGACAGACTTAACATCACGATAAGGGCGTTTTATATTCTAACAGATGATCAATCAGGGTGACCAGGTTGAGAGACTCAGTATGGCACAGAAAGTTCCGTCCGCAACAATAAGACACTGAAGTGTATTATTTATCCTTTGTATGAACACGCTAGTACTGCATTTTGGGTATTTAAAGCGTTAAGCAGACAGTGGCAGTACTTTGAACTGGCTGCAGTGTGAAGAACTTGGTCAGTCTGACATCTGGTGAGTGATGTGGGAGAGACGATAGATGGAGCTGATACAGCAGATGTGAACCGCCAGAGAACCCAACCAGTTTCTTCTGAAACTTCAGCTGAAACATTCCATCAATTACTGATGTTACAATTTTGACCAAACAAATGATTTAAACACAGCTTCTTAGTCAGCTATACCTTATTGTTCGTTGTCAGTCTCACCAGCTGAAGGGGTGGATATTTAGGTGGATATCTAATTTAGTACCATTTGGTTTAGAACTTTTCATGAAGTTTAGAGAAAAAAAATATCTCTGGGTAAAGTAAAAAGAATGAAAGTTTAATGATTTATTCTGAACAGGGATGGACAAATCATAATATATGGTTACTTACCTTATGACCACTGGCATTGAAAGTGATACCAGAAAAATCAAATATCCTACAGACTGTATTGGAACTGTCGTCCTTGAGGTTATATGTCAGTACATGTACGAGAAATCCCTTAAGACGACCACTTCCAGTGTCTGCAAAGGATTACGTGCAATCTTATGCATAATTCAGACTTTGGATATTGATACGATATTTCTGGTTTGTTATAAATAAATATCCGACGTATCGAAAGTATTAAGCTCATGCGTTCATGACGCTATATAAGTGCAATAATCTTGGACGCGACGTTAAACCCAATTTCACCTCACCTCACCGTTCATGACGTATCTTGTACATTGCGCTATACGATGCATAACATGCATTTACACGAAGGATTTGAGTTTTGTCAGGTATTGCTACACAGTTATTGCATTGTTTATTTATTGTAAGATTTGATGTAGCTATTGTGTGTCGAGGAAAGCTGATCAAGAGCCAAATGTTGATTTAATTGGAACATAGTTAAAGTTAAATTTAGTAATTGTATTATGCCGGACGGCGTTGTTGACGGTATTCAAATCATGCTGTGACGTAAGGTCGGAATGACGCCAGCCTTGAAACGTCAAAACTGAAGACTGTTGACGTCATTTGACAATTGTGTTTTTTTAAAGACGACAGTCATCATCAGTGCATTTGACTTCAACATGATTTCGAAATAATGAGAAAAAAGTACATTAATACCGATATAACTGAAATTCGTGTAAGAATTAATCTATTTAAGAAGTTAGTTGGTTTTCATTGCTGGGCGGTGCCAGTTAGGTACTACTACAAATACAAGAATTCTGCCACTCTTTTCGTAAAATCTGTGTGACACACGATGCTCGTATAACAACCTTTATGTAAGACAAATAACATAATGCTGTTCACCTTCCCATTCCCATTCTATGATGATCTGAGGACTGCTGTTCTGGTTGGGGTCGGCAATAAGTTTCCCATTCACTGACAAGGAAGAGGCAGTTGAGGCTGGGTGGTTACCCTCGAGATGTGGTGGGATGCTGCCAATACAACCTATGTAAACACAACATGTGAGTGAATGTTGTTTTATGTCACGGAGTCACGGAGTATTGTAAGTGGGTGAACTTTTCAAGGCTTTTCTGACAATATTTCAACCACATGACGGCGAGGACACATGAATGGACCCATGTGGGTATCAAAACCGGGTGTTTGGCTTGGCACCGAGCTCTCACTGCGTACAGAGCCACCATGAAGTATTGCTGAATACGTGAGTTAAGTCGGCAATGTGGGATATTCGAGACTGGTGTGTGTGACATAGCCGTAGTGTATCTGTTACTTAACTGTGTGTTTTCTAAACGTGCATGTACATATTGTATCATGTATGATAGATGTTTTTGATACGAGTAAGCTGTTGTGCTGTGTTCCGTGGACCGACACAGAGTGACTCAAACAACGATAATGGGTTAACGACAGTCATTGTTACATGCGTCGAAATATAGGGTATCGATAGATCGATATACTCACAGGAAGGGAGTTTGTGTGAACAGGAGAGTTAATTTTGAATGATATGTTTGTTTAATGCCGCACTCAGCAATATTCCAGCTATATGACAGCGGTCTAAATAATCGAGTCTCTACCTATCAGACAGTCCAGTGATTGCCATCAACCCGATCTACCCAATTGGGATACGATGACATGTTACGATCTTTCGACATGCATAGTCGCCTTTTACGGCAAGCATTGCTTACTATTCTTACCCGCATCTTCAAGGTTTAATTGAATTAGATGTCTCATTGTAATCTTAATTTTACCAGTAAGAATTAAGCTTTCTTCAGTGTCACTGTACAGTCAATAATAACCATTGGAGCATAATGAAATATAACACGTGCATGCTTATAAATATCCGTTGTATATGATATGCGTTCAACCTACGTTCTGTTCCCCATAGTATGCAGTCCAAAGTCAATCCCTGCAATAAAGTTATACAACATAAATGTTGATATCAACCAAATCAAAATGTTATCAATCGTGTAATAGGGTAAGGTGACAACAACCAAAACTACTTGATATATTGTTTAACGTGCAAGCTCATCTTGCGTGTCACAGGTAAGAAATTGCTAAACACATTAGCTGCTCTAGTTACAGTATTGTTCATGATCATAACCCGAAAAGGTATCTGGATATTCGAGTTGTACAGGATAAAGAGGTCAGATAAAAAGTCAGTTCAATTAGTTCTTTTAAGACGACACTCTTAAATAACACACATTGTAAGAATGAAGGACGCGTTTCAGATTTATGTGTGTATGTTTGAAATTGCATAATTGTATTCTAAGGCATTCTCGTGCCACAATTCCACAGAATGGTTTCCATAGATTGTGTTCGAATCCGGGTCTTAAGAATGAACGATTTCACCACCGGGTTACTCTGCGGCTCCTATGTTATATGAATACGTATGCTACACAACGACATTGTCATGATTCAAATAAAATGAACATGATAAAATATACCCAACTGCATATGCACCATTTAATTCTAAACTCCTAATCAAAACGTATAACTTACATACACTACCTTAACTTTGGTTCCCTTTACTAAATATATTAAAACATTCACTTACCGGTTTTCCCCACACTAAAAACTGTTCGGGGGGTCGAGTTCTTGAACAATTGCCATTCACAGTAATTCCATTATATGCGAATGTGACAGGTACTATAAAACACAGAATATATTTCCAAGGATGGATCATGGTTGTTTCACCAAGCAAACGGAAAGTAAGAAATATAACCTCAACAGAAGGAATAACTGAACACGAATTCAAACTAATGTATTTTCAGTTTGACAACTGGGGTGCGCCAGGGTGGCTATATCACCGCTATGCTGTTGTCGGTCTGTGCATAAGTGACTCAGTTCTCCGCCAGCCTGCCTTCCTGTATTTCTGGGTATTGTAGGCTAATCATTTCGAAGTCCCCTCACCATAACAAAAGTACGTTGGGGTATTTTACATCCGCTATCGAGAATTGGTGTGTTGCGAAAGTACACGCTACATTGACCGCTGAGTGTGAGAACAAAACACCACAGTGTATTCTGTCCTTTGTGTCCGTATCCAAAGGTGATCACAAATACGTATTGAAACACGCTCAGGGGACATTCAATCAAGGTCCGCTATCAAGCAACTATCGGATATCTTTCAAAGACGAACATCGGCACTTATCGGAATAATTTACAGTTTCATAAACATGTCACTGGATCTCATATTAGCCTGCACGTGTGTCATATTGAAATCGGAGCTCGGCTAAACCGCTAAGAGTTTATAATACCTTCATGTAGTCGGATTGGCGTTGACGAACTTTTGTGGTCTTTCTATAAATGTTTAAATGCTAAATCCATAACGGATATCTTGCATCAACTCGTGTCACTGCTAACTTGGTCTAATTTGTTGAAATGATTATCCAAGTGTTTTATGCCGCTTCTGCGTTATACGTGGAAAAACACAATGATTCATGTCGGTGAATACTGTGATGTAAATTAACGGCAAACGTCTTTAAGCTTTTCACATTTAGAAAATCCTATACCTGGCATGACATAGTTTCTCTGATTCGTGTCATTTGTGCAAAGGGTTAGAGTACTTCATATCATCCCCCGTAACGTGAATAATGATATCTGGTCGGTCAAGATATCAAAGATGGGGTGAAATGCGGTTTAACGTCGCGTTCAAGATTATTGCACTTGCATGCACGTGCGTGTGTTGCTGCTTATACTAAATAACCCAATGGATTTTGATAAATGCCGATTTGATAGTACTAGTCCACTGAGATACCATGCTGTAGTTTAATATGAATATCAAACACATTATACTGACTCCGAGCCGACCAGTCTTTGTTTCAGCCCCTTAATGCCGGATTAATACGGATTAGCCGACCATCCTGTATATGCTTCTGCTGTTTCATCTCCAGTCTGTAAAAAATTGAGTCTGGACCAGACAATCCAGAGATTGAAATCAAGAGCATCGATCCTCGCTATCGGGATATGATCATGATGACATGCATCAATCAAGTCAGCGAGCCTGACCACCCGATCCCGTTATTCGCCTCTTACGACAAGCATAGTCGCCTTTACGGCAAGCATGGGTTGCTCATGAAGACTTATTCTACTCTGATCTTCACAGATCGGGGTGAATAGGAAATTAGTTAGAAATGTTGTAGTAATGTTAGCTGGTATTGTACAATATTATACATAATAACACTTTTGTTGGACTGTGGCTAACTTTGGCGAGAACGTATACGTTTCACTTGATACCGCATCTGTTGGACTGTGGCTAATGTTGGCTTGTACTGTATCAGTCTCTCGTGATAGTTCGTGTTTAGACTGTGCTAGGTCTGGCTTGTACTGTATCAGTCTCTCGTGATAGTTCGTGTTTAGACTGTGCTAGGTCTGGCTTGTACTGTATCAGTCTCTCGTGATAGTTCGTGTTTAGACTGTGCTAGGTCTGGCTTGTACTGTATCAGTCTCTCGTGATAGTTCGTGTTTAGACTGTGCTAGGTCTGGCTTGTACTGTATCAGTCTCTCGTGATAGTTCGTGTTTAGACTGTGCTAGGTCTGGCTTGTACTGTATCAGTCTCTCGTGATAGTTCGTGTTTAGACTGTGCTAGGTCTGGCTTGTACTGTATCAGTCTCTCGTGATAGTTCGTGTTTAGACTGTGCTAGGTCTGGCTTGTACTGTATCAGTCTCTCGTGATAGTTCGTGTTTAGACTGTGCTAGGTCTGGCTTGTACTGTATCAGTCTCTCGTGATAGTTCGTGTTTAGACTGTGCTAGGTCTGGCTTGTACTGTATCAGTCTCTCGTGATAGTTCGTGTTTAGACTGTGCTAGGTCTGGCTTGTACTGTATCAGTCTCTCGTGATAGTTCGTGTTTAGACTGTGCTAGGTCTGGCTTGTACTGTATCAGTCTCTCGTGATAGTTCGTGTTTAGACTGTGCTAGGTCTGGCTTGTACTGTATCAGTCTCTCGTGATAGTTCGTGTTTAGACTGTGCTAGGTCTGGCTTGTACTGTATCAGTCTCTCGTGATAGTTCGTGTTTAGACTGTGCTAGGTCTGGCTTGTACTGTATCAGTCTCTCGTGATAGTTCGTGTTTAGACTGTGCTAGGTCTGGCTTGTACTGTATCAGTCTCTCGTGATAGTTCGTGTTTAGACTGTGCTAGGTCTGGCTTGTACTGTATCAGTCTCTCGTGATAGTTCGTGTTTAGACTGTGCTAGGTCTGGCTTGTACTGCATAAGTCGTACATGACAGTGCGTCTGTTGGATTGTGCTAATGTTGGCTAGTGCTGTAATAGCCACACACGATAGTGCGTCTGTTAGACTGTGGTTTGTGTTTGCTTGAACAGTATGGATATAGCTAATTACACACCAAATACGTGTAATTTGACTACGGTTATTGTAAAAATAACATATCCGTGTGTGTGTGTGTGTGTGTGTGTGTGTGTGTGTGTGTGTGTGTGTGTGTGTGTGTGTGTGTGTGTGTGTGTGTGTGTGTGTGTGTGTGTGTGTGTGTGTGTGGCTGCTTGTACTTGTGCTGACTGATCCGATTTATGGTGCTTGCCCACTGAGATACGAGGGGCGTTCAATAAGTTTTGCAACTTCAATATAAAACCAATTCGCAGAATATCTTTTGCACTTTTTATTTTTCAATACCATCTCCATTCACTTCGGCTTCCATTTGTCCTTCAAGCTTTTAATACCATTTTATAGATTGGCCCTCTAACCACGCCTCTGTGGCAGCCTTTATGATCTCGTCATCCTGGAAGCGATTTCCACGTAGGACAGATTTCATTTGCCGGAACAGGAAATAGTCACTGGAGGCTAAGTCTGGGTTGTAGGGTGAGTGACTGAACTGTTAGAATCCACATTCACATATGGCGGCCACATGCGATCATGGACTTCTGTTACTTTGCATCCCTCCTTGGTAAGGAACTTTATTACAGCGCGTCGTTCATGTTTGAGAGAATCCATGATTGTGACCACCCTTAGGTGAATGAAGCCATCACATCGAACCTATTGTTGTGTCTGGAACTTGTTATGACACGTGTCAACCTGATGTTATGACTAGCGTCACACCTGCCACAAGTTGACATTGTTTGTTTAAACATAAATGCCCAAGTTGCAAAACTTATTGAACGCACCTCGTACCATGTCGCAATTTAACATGAATACCGCGCTCAGACACAGTGTACTGACCCCGAGCCGACGAGTCCTTCACCCCCTTCATGCCGAGAGCCAGTCAGGGTAACAACAAGTACCATCTTTTAACGTTTTTTGGTGTGACGTGACCGGGGATCGAACCCCGGACCTTTCGCTCTCCGGATGGACGCTCTATCAGAATCAGAAATATATAAGCTTTATCATGATTACCTGTAAGTACTCGAATCTGGACAGACATACCAGGTAGCTTACAGTCAACGCTGTTGGAACATTATACAGACTCCGAGCCAACCAGTCCTTGTTTTATCCTCTTAAGTCCGATCGCCAGGCAGGGAAACAACAAATACCATCTGTTAACGTCTTTTGGTTTGATCCGCCAGGTCATTGTACCCAGACACTGTATCCACTAGATCGCGGACGCGGTCGATTCTGAAAAGGACAAAGGATGTCAACCTGAATTCGTGTTAATTACATGTGGTCACAAAGCGTTTGCTTTTAAGTAGACTAAATATGTATATATAAATATAGTGTCCATAAATAAATATAGTGCCCAGGGTCCTTTACCAATTACTTAGCTATGGTAACTTAAGTGTTGGCTTCCATTGTCTATTGCTCATCACCTATCAGCGCCAATCATCTGTTGGCTTCCTTCGTTAGCTTTTACCCTTTGTTATTTTCCACCTTTTGTTATTTCATTAATTTCGTTGTCCTTACATGTACATATATATGCTCTCTGCCTCATGGCATTCATTCACCTGATGAAGGAGTAAGCATATACTCCGATACGTTGTGTTCCTCATAATAAAGAAGTTGACATCCATATATTCTCTTCCGTATGTGTATCACTTCTAAATGCCTTTCAAAGACCTATAAATATATAGGTTACACATATTTTAATATGTAGTTTAGACTTAAGATGTCCTGTGGATATTCGTTACCATGGTGTATATAAATGTAATCCCATGCCTGTAATAATCTATATTACATATTGCAACATTTGTTGGAAAACACGGGAGACTTATTCTGATACTAAAAACACTGTTGCGACAATCGACGCAAGTGGTGTCACTTAGTCGTATTCTATTAGTAAAAAAAAAGGAAAGAAATACTTAACGGTTAAACTTGTTTGAGCACATTCAATTAAATGTCTGTTTTCGTTGCGTTTATGGAGGTTTTAAGTGGCTACCGAACTATCTCCCACAGCTGTGTTTCCCCATATTAACATGACACTACAGCTTCACGCTTCATGAAGTCAGCGGTATTCAACCTGCAGCCGCGAGGTGCATGGGTTTCTCTCACCCCAGCTGTTTCACAAACATTGGCCATTTTAATAAAAAAAGGATATTTTCCCTATTAACCACGTCAAACAGAATAACATGACATGCACACAGACATGCATAGTTCTTTTTATCATGTTTTATCACGTCATTGTAAACATGGGGGATACAATGCATTCACAAGGTGTTGTCTGGACACGACAGAGTGAGTGTGTGCAGTAATCCAACTTCTTCAAATTTAAAGCATTGGTTCAATTCAACAGCTATCGAAAATAACATGATGTTGTGCCCCTACTTAACCTTCGACGCCTTTAGTTCAGCGTTTTCCTGCTCCATGTGTCGTTGTTCCCGCGGTACTGCAATGAACGAGGAACTGGGATGTGAATTAAGCCGAATATTTACACGCACCGTTTATTACATTGTAATTTATTCAGATTTCTTTCCTCGAGGAAGCCCATGCACGACTATATAACGGCAGCCAGTGAAAGCAGCTTTATGCGTTTTCTTTTGAAATCGCATAACGTTTGAATCTGAACGTTCCCCTTTCAAATACGGATTGTTCGGGGGATTATTTGGGGTAAACACAATATTTCTGTTACTAAACATTGCCATAACTTTTTTGTTTTTTTATTTTAAGAGGTCATACATGTTAACAGCGTATCATATCATACTTGCGTTGCCTTGCCACGATTATTTCATTATTTTAAAAAAATATATATTTTGATTGAGATTATAATTGTTGAATTTCTATGAATTTTTATTCTTCAAAGGTTTGATAGCTTGAAATTAACATTAACTCTATTAAGTCAAGGCAAAAGAAAAGTAAGAAATTATTATATAGGTATCAATCGTTTACCGCTCAGAATGTGTTTTATTATATTCTGTCTATATTGTTAAGAATACTATTGTGTGTAGCGTTATAGAATTCATTACCAGTGACAAGGAATGGACTTCACACATTGTACTTATGTGGGGAATCGAACCCGGGCCTTCGGCGTAACGATTGAACGCTTTAACCTCCAGGCTACCCAACCGCTCCTTTTGGGGAAAGAACAGACAGAATCATCACGCTCCGGTATTCCTGAAATGTTTTTTTCACTTTACATGTAATCCATGTTGCTTAATTATATTGGGGCACGGGTGGCCCAATTCTCTGTTCAGAGTTACACCAGTGATTGTGGGTTCGAATCCCTGTTCGCCCCAGTTATGTTTCTGGATTTGTAAGTTCCGTTCTCGTGCTCGTGGGTTTTTACCAAAGCGGTAAACGTCTGAGACCTACATGATTTCGGGCTTTTCCCCCACATTAATCGCTGTGATAAAAGTGGAATACTGTTCAAAGCGGCGTCAAACCCATTCACTCACTCACTTAATTATAGTCTCTTCCAGACGATTCTAGGGCGGTCGGGTAGCCTAGTGGTTAAAGCGTTTGCTCGCCACGCCGAAGACCCGGGTTCGATTCCCGACATGGGTACAATGCGTGATGCCCATTTATGGAGTCCCCCGCCGTGATATTGCTGGAATATTGCTAAAAGCGGAGAAAAATCAAACTCACTCACTCCAGACGATTCTCAGCGCTTGTCAGTTGGTTGTGATTACATTAGTATCCTCGATTTCAAACATTATATGGACACAGGTATTTTGTTTATTTTTAATCCCCCAATCATAAAGACAATGTATTATTATTATGAGGCTGATCCTCCATGGAGGTTAATAATCTCCACTATGACGAGGAACTTACATACTTGCTCAATTTAAGCTTCTAAGTTGTCAAGTTAGTTAGCCCGCATGTGGACTGCAATTCGCCGTGTAGAGTTACGTCCCGTAGACGTCCCAGAATCCGATGACCGTGGGTGCCTATCCATTTCGTTCTCTCAAATGTGGTATGCGCATCTCTCGATCTTATCTCTCCGACAGACACAGGTACCTGTTGCGTGGGTTATTAAAGGGAGACAACTCATGTTGTTCTCGTTATTCATGTCTATGTTAATCCTAGTTTGCTTGTTAGCTGTTAAACGCCGTATTCAGCAATATTTCAGCCATATGACGGCGGTCTGTAAATAATCGAGTCTGGGCAAGACAATCCAGTGATCGTCATCATGACCATCGATCTACACAAATGGGATACGATGACGTGCATCAACCAAGTCAGCGCGCCTGACCACCCGATCCCGTTAGTCGCCTTTTACGACAAGCATAGTCGCCTTTTACGGCAAGCATGGGTTGCTGAAGATCTATTCAAATACGGATCCATCCCGAGACGCTAATCCGAGTTGTGTCAGTTTCCACTTGGTGTAATTGATTTAGATGTTTATGTCTTTCCCGCCTGTTTAGGTTAATTTGAAGATAAGACGTTTGATTGTTTGTTTATTTGTTTAACACCGCAGTCGGTAATATGCCAGCTATATGACGGCGGTCTGTAAGTAATCAGGTCTGTAAATAATCGATTCTGGACCCGACAATCCAGTGACTGATAACATGAGCATCGAGCCACGCAAATGCGATGCGATGACATGCATCAACCAGTTAAGCAAGCCTGACCACCCGATCCCGCTAGCCGCCAATTACAACAAGCAGAGTCGCATTGGTTACTGAAAACCTATTCTATTCCGGATCTTCGTGGACTTGGGTCGCGCATTGACCTGGGCAGCTGGGAGAGATAAGTAACTCCTTCGGACAGATCGCAGTGTATCTAACAGTCTGTGAGCCACAAACCTGCTTACTACCATTGATGGTATTTTTACTACATAATGCAGTTTTTCATTCCACATGCAACACTCAATTAATAATAAAAGAAAGCGCATTTTAGTAGCATCATCTGGAAAGGGCCATTTGAGCCCAACACACATCTCTTTTCCCAGTCCTCATGAATCGATTAAAGAGTATATTTTAGTAACCAAAATGTCGTACAATTAACTACAGGTGTACTTTCTCCCTCTTGTCCCCAAGACCAAGCCCAGTCGCTGGTCTGTGGACACAGCGACGTGTATTGTACCCTGCATCAATTACGAGTCTCCGTGATGTTCAATTTCATGTACATAACTACTATAATGTGATATTGCAGTAAAAAAGCTGCCTCCATATTTCCACATTCTTTCAATGACGAAATTCAGACGAGACGTTGCAAAATCCCTCACAACGTTAACTGAAGCTAATTGGGTGCTTGAACGATGAACGGTGAAATTACATATTGTGATAACGCGTGCCAATATGTCTATTTCTATTTATATCACTTATATAATGAGACGTATCTAAAGGGAACCTTACTTTCAATGCGTCAGAAACCACATAATACTTTTATCTGTTTACTGCAGAGCGCCTCCATGGTCTAGTACCGGCAGCGTCAAACCATAAGACATTGAAAGATGGTACCTCCTGTCAACCTGTTTCAGCCGAAAGGAGTTTACCCCAAGACTGGTCGGCTCGGAGACAGTATCATGCGGTGGTATCAAAGAACTACCGTGGCATGGTATCTTGATGGAATAGCACTATACGGTCCGAACTAGTACACAAAGACACCATAACACACACACACACACACACACACACACACACACACACACACACACACACACACACACACACACACACACACACACACACACACACACACACACACACACACACACACACACACACACACACACACACACACGATAACACTCACACACACTCACACACAATAACACACACACATACACAATAACACAGGCTCACACACAATAACACACATACACTGACACAATAACACACACACTCACACACAATAACACACACTCACTCACACAATAACACACTCACACACACACTCATACAATAACACACACACACAATAACACTCACACAATAACACACACTCATACAATAACACACACTCACATACACAATAACACACAAAATAACACACACAATGACACACACACACACAATAACACTCACACAATAACACACACTCATACAATAACACACACTCACATACACAATAACACACAAAATAACACACACAATGACACTCACACACAATAACACACACTCACACACAATAACACACGCTCACACACAATAACACACACTCACTCACACAATAACACACTCACACACACACTCATACAATAACACACACACACAATAACACTCACACAATAACACACACTCATACAATAACACACACTCACATACACAATAACACACAAAATAACACACACAATGACACACACACACACAATAACACTCACACAATAACACACACTCATACAATAACACACACTCACATACACAATAACACACAAAATAACACACACAATGACACTCACACACAATAACACACACTCACACACAATAACACACGCTCACACAATAACACACACACATGGACGTCATTACATTTTAGTGGCATCATCTGGAAAGGGACATTACAGCTCACCACACCTCTCTTTACCCAGTCCTGATTCGTGTAACAAGTACGCGATATAGGGAGCTAATAATTCCTTTATGAGGCGTGAAATACTTTTAATTGAAGGTATGTGTAAGAAACATCTGCTGCTCAGTCACTGAAGTCAAACACAACCCCAACAAACTTCTCCCACAACACTAGGTGAAAGGGAGACAACTCATCTTGCATTCGTCTCCAAACGGTCCACAGATCTTACTTCCGTCAATTTCTCCACCCAACTGCACCGTGCTATGTCTTTCTCTGTGGCGTCATTGTATGTATGTGGGGTCTATTTGTTGAGACAGAGTAGGGGAGGAACGTCATGATCAGTCCGTCGTTGTGGATCTACAGTAATGGCAGTAGGTATGGCGCCTCAAGTCCCAAGCTTGCTATCCTAAATGCGAAAAAGGTAACATGTTCAAAATGACCCAATCACTGAGGAAAGGCTCTTTATTGTTTCCACTATAAACACATATGTTATGGAATATAATTAATTCCAGTTGGAACATTAGAAAAAAAACAGTTACATGTTTTATCAGGTTCTTATGCTGAGGTAAAATCAGATATGTTTGTTTGTTAGTTGTTCAACGACGCACTCAGCAATATTCCACCTATATGACGGCGGCCTGTAAATAATCGAGACTGGACCAGACAATTCAGTGATTGGTATTGTGAACAATAGAATCATGTAAATAGCAACCTTTGTTAAATACGATTTAACGTATATACAAGTAACATGCAAAATATCACAAATCGTTATAAAATACTACAAATAAATAAAATAAATATCATGGTGTAAAACTACATTACACACCAAACTAAAACTGAAATGGATAAGATGTGTATAAAAGTTAGACAGTTTTGCAGGTCTTGTGCTGTTATACAAATCACCATATGAGACACGACATTTTGACTGGGGATGTTGTTCCAAATATCAACCCAAACATTTGGTTCTACTGAGCTTGTGTTACCGGCTGATTGTGGTCATGTCGTAGCCGTGTGCATCATCTCATCCAAGACATGATCGAGGGGGAGAAGTCTGGAGAAACAGAATCTTCTCCAAGAGTAGAACATGACCTCGAACAATAATTTTCTCCCATGAGTATTGATGCCAACCCATGCCATTACATTACACGGAAACTAAAGACGTTGAGGAACGCAAGCATCGAGTTGCACCTTCCTAGATACTGGAGGGCGCTGACTAAGGTCCTGGGTTCATATCGTGCATGCCAAGGACCCGTTCCATACGTGGTTTAATAAGGGCAACTGTCGCATGTTGAGGGACTCCAGTGTCACTATTGCTGTGTCAGACGCCGGCGGGGACGTCTCCATCCGCAATACGGAGTTGCCAGCCCTTAGTAGTTTCAGTTCTCGCGAAACCACGAGATCTCTCCATTCTCCATACCGGTAAAGTGAACCAGTAAGGAGGTAACCCACAGTCAAATGTTTTCCCAGAGTCTTCAATAGTAACGTTATATCATCTTAAAGCAGAATTAAGCATTTAACAACAAGACCGCCGCCTTCATAATAAAATGTTCTTGTTTTATCAAACCATCAGTATCACGTTCATAATGCAAATACACTCAATAGGTGAAGTAGAATGAGACGAGGTGTTCTTTGCAACGGTGTCAGTTGTGTCGCGGCATTGGGGACTAGAACAAAATAACAATGGAATACATTAATTTTGATCCGAATAACGAAACTTATGGCATTGATATAGATGTCTAGATCGACATTATTGATCAGTACTGAAGACAATATATTTATAAGTCACTCAGTAAGAAAACAAAACAGTGATGCAACTACAATATTTGAAACCCAGGTAAAGTAAGAACAGTGCTTGTTCGATCCCTACCTGGCATGGTGGTTGTAGTTATCGGGGGCATGGTGGTTGTTGTCATATTTGGCGTGGTGATTTTAGTTATGATGGGCGTGGTGGTTGTAGACATCAGGCGCGAGAATGTAGTTATCTTGGGCGTGGTGGTTGTATTCATCATGGACATGGTGGTTGTAGTTGTCATGTGCCTTGTGGTTGCTGTCATTGTTGGCGTGGTAGTTGTAGTATTCTTTGACATCGTGGTTGTAGTTATCATGGGCGTGGTGGTGGTTGTCATCATAGACGTGGTGGCGGTAGTTATCATGGACGTGTTTGTTGTAGTCACACTTGTCGTGACGGTTGTAGTTGTCATGGGCCTGCTGATTTGGGCGGAGCAGCCTGAATTAGTGAGTGAAACATCGGAGCAATATTAGTAAGTTAAACGCAGATGAATACATACACTTAGTTGTGAAAGTAAATCAGTAAATGATTAAAGTTTACTATCTATTTGCAGCGATTGCAACTTAATTAGTGGTGTGCTTGTTGCAATCGTAGGGTGTGTAAGTGTTCCTATTTGCAACTTGGAGAAACGGTCTGATAGCAATGAACATTTTAATTGAACACATATAATTGTTTATATCAAGGCACATCAGGTAACAGTTTCACCTTCACTGTCTGTCTGCTATGTGATGAACATGTGTGAATAGCGTACCACCGACAGGAAAAAGGTTGAACTCTGTGATATTCAAGCGCTCCATTCAGGGCTGAAGGAATTCCTATTTCCAGATTCAACGAAAGTTGGACATGTATGCATTTATTCCACACAAAATATCACTTAAATATGCTTTATGAATTATAGGCAAGATAGATGCGAACACTCACCTACAGTGAACATGGTGGAGGGTGTATCCAGACACGGCTGACATTGCCTCACTCCATGGTAAATGGCAGAATAACACACGCACCTTAAGTCATCCTGGCTGTAAGGGTCCACAGGTTGAATCTGACAAGGGTAATCAGATACATGCATGTTGTTCATCATCACTAGTATTGCAGCCTACGGTATTTTAACTATCCAATACGCTTAATTCAAATCATAATAAATCAACGGACATGTACCCTTCAGCATGCATACATATACAGGTAACCAGAGTGTGTGAGTCTATGTTATTTTACAATGCAATACATAAACTATATCGCGAGAGGAAGATATTTTATGGATGTCAACTTCTTTATTATGGGGAAACACAACGTGAGAAATAAATTTACAGTTTATACCGAAACATTTTCAAGAGAATAACAAAGGGGGTAAAGCAATATTGACTCCTTAAATGACTATTATTTTGCCTGGTCAATGTGGAACTGACGTGAAAAGGAGGTCCACAGTTTGTATACGGGTAAGACACTTACGAATTTAAGGGGAGGTAACTCTTGCATGACAATAGTTCCGCAAAGTGTCATGTTCACAGCAGTGAACTACCAAGTGTTATGTTCACTGCAATGAAAATGTCACTTTTCTCAACTTCGGAAAACTCGGTATTTCACTATGAAGTACATAATAAAAGTGTTTTTCACATGTGTGCTAATTCTATACGTATTTATTACATGTGTATAGTTATTGTGATGTGTGTCTGTGATGCCAATCTATATTGACGTGTGATTGCCATATGCTTAGCCATTCTGGAGTGCGTCTAAATTATTTAGAAGTCAACCATATCTATTGTTATTGTAATGTGTGTAGTTATTGCAATGTGTGTGTGCCATGTGTATATTAATTCTATTTTTTACCTGTCGTGAGTTATTGTAATTATTATCTTAACAGTTATTGATATTATTAACTATATTTTTGTATAATATTAATTATTGATTACTTACATGGATGACGTACTCTCCAGCTGCAATATCTCTGAAGGAAGCCAGGAATGTGGTCTCATTTTGGGAAGGGGGATCAAATTCCTGAAATTGATACATCGCCATAAAGTTCATGTATGTATATATAAGACGGGAATAGATCAACAGACACACAACATGTACTCGTAGCAGCATCGTGATGCTCAGAAAGAAGATCGCTTTGTGAATTATGTTTTTTTCATGACTGAAGCATAGCCAACATTTAGTATCATCTATTCATGTCTACATGATAAAGTTAAAGCATAAAATATGTAATTAATAACATACAACTCACCCTCTCTTGACAAAAGTAACCTGAATCAGTCGACACAATGCATGTTTCTACAGCATTTAAACTGTCATTCTTGGACACCAGCATCACTGTGTATTGCCTGAAGCCATATCTAAGGGGTGCTAGGCTGAATCTGGCCTCGATATTAGCAGGAGCAGTGAACTGTATTTCATCATAGGATATAAACGGTATCCAGTTTCTAGCGGGAATGTCTATTCCCTCTGAAAGAAAGCCATTATATTTCTGTAACGTCACTTGTATATTGTCATCTGAATGTACTTATATGGCTTAAACTGACACCAGACAAAAAACAGACGAGAAATACTGGTAAATGTCGTAAGTGGTTTAAACGAAAGTACGCAATTGTTCTATCAATAAACTAGGTCATACGTTGTCGCAACTTTCCCGTTATCTGTATATATGTGTCCTATTTTACACATGACTAGCAGATACATTGTTTATAATTACAACTAGTGCTATTAGATTTTGTATGTATCTTTTTTAAAGAGCATATCCTCATGACATTCTATATATTGTGCTTCAGACTTCATTGTCGTTTATACGGAAAGGCTATTCTGTTCAGATCTGACAATAGAGACCATTGTAAACGCTTCTATCAAACATGGGTACGATCTCGTAAAACCAGCATGTTATATAGGTAGTTCTAGTTTGATAAGGACCAGGGCAGTTCCATACTTTGAACAGGCTGCAGTGTGAAGAACCTGGTCAGTCTGACATCTGGTGAGTGATGTGGGAGAGACGATAGATGGAGCTGATACAGCAGGTGCGACCCCCCAACGAATCCAACCAGTTTCTTTTGAAATATCAGCTGAAACATTTATCATTCATTTCATGTGATAAAAATACTTTTCCTTTGTATTAATAATTAACTAAAACGAAGGAGGTTCCAAAATTACACATTACCTTGGCACCGCTTGGGTTGAACAGAGAATGAGAAAAATCAAATATCCTGCAAACGAGTTTGGAACTGTTATCTGTCATGTCATGTATCCGAATTTCAAGACGAAATCCATGAATTCGTCCACGCCCAGCGTCTGTAAAAAAATACAAACACAGAGAGATACACATTCTTACACAACTACATGACTCCAGACATTTTAATACTACAAACAATAACCATGTCAACTCGAACAACTTTTCCAACAATCGCATATTTGATTTTCGTAGGTGCTATATAGCTATGGCTGGACTTTGGCAGTCATTTTTCACACACCCAAAACAATTATAGCATTAATACTCATTCTTAAGCAAAAGGTTAAGAAATGTACTTTATAGTAAGTTACCACTTTCTGGTGTCTCCCATTCAATGATGATCTGAGGACTGCTGTTCTGGTTGGGGTCGGCAATAAGTGTTCCATTCACTGACAAGGAAGTGGGAGGTGTAGCTGAGATAGTACCCTCCAGATGTGGTGGGAGACTGCCTTTACACCCTATGCATATGTGAGCAAATAGCGGTATCATCATACATAGAGTCAGGGCGGCATACTAACACTTGGTCTCAATAGTAAATGGGTCGTACGACAAGGATCAAATACTCAACATCCTCCGAATACGAGTGAGTGAGTGACTGAGTGAGTTGGGTTTAACGCCGCTTCTAACATTATCCCAGTTATATCTCGGCGTGTCAGCTTAATGTTGGAGCAGAGCCTGAAGTGATGCAGGTCTTAGACGTTTACCACTTCGGTGAAACCAACGAGTACGGGTATGGTGCTGTCAAACCTAGAAACATAATCGGGGCGAACCGTGATTCGAACCCACAATCATAGGTTTCTGGCGAGCTCAAGGGACGCAATTCTGCACAGCGAATAGCGGCGCCTTAGTCGGCTGGGCCACCCGTGCCCCGTGTGTCTGTAGAGATAAAGAGTCGGAGTGTAATGAGCTTATAAATGTGATGGTTTTAAACAAATTGACAATGGAACCTTTACAAGTGAGAAAGTAGATTTCGGCTGTTTTTTGTGTAACATGTTTCAAATGAGCTAGGCATGAAGCAACAATATCTTAATATTTAACATCATCGGGATGGGATGTATATAAGAATCATGGATTATTTAACTGATTAAATAAACACAATGGTTTTAAGGTTTAGAAGGAATATATATATATACTATACATATAACCCACGTTCAGTCCCATACAGTGTGCAGTTGAAAGGCTCTCTCTGAAACTAAAGAAGACACGAATGAATACTCGGAGTCCTTATTTATTGCATACACGTTAGCATTTAGTGCAATACGTGGTTGGAATCTTGGTTCAGATGCTGGCAGCCTGTATTGTGATATATTGTGGTTCTAGAATTTTCCAGATGTTTCTACATTTCTTTTGTGATATGTTATACATGAATATCGTCGTATGAAGTAAACTTACATTGATGTATTATTGTCAGGGTTAATATAGGGTACAGTGATGATTGAACTCATCTGTGTAATAACCTTAAATGTGAAGATTGTGTGCACATTAAATGCCGGCTCATGGAGCGTCACAGGAACCATACACATTCCCTGATTTACAAGTTTGCACAAGGTGCGTCAATAGCCTTATAATGGACATGACAACACCAGCAAAGTTATGTGAAACATCGACGTCAGTGCTGGTATTAGAATGTGTATCTTATGACTTATCTGTCTACTGTTTCTAAATTGAATGTACATTTGTTTTGCTTAATCGCATTAACAAACGATAGATGTGGTCAAACGACGTAGCGCTTCCCCACTCGTAATGCCCGGCGGTCGGCAAAGTCCGGCACCGTTCGGCTCAGATCGGTGTCTATACGTTCATTAGGGTATTACTTGAGAATTTATTGCCCGCAAATTTGACCCTCAAGCAGTTTAATTGCATACTTTTATCATATTTTGATTTGGTATATGTTATCTGATATATGTGTGCAGCTTATTCATGTATTAAAAGTGATTATGGTGTTCTTGCAGTGGCCGGGTTAACTTGGCCGGGTAGATATGTCTCACGTATTTATGATCTTTTTTGCCATCTAAGAACTTGTAAAGAATTCAAGCAGGAAAAAAATGCTTATGCTTCAGATATCAAAACATGCTGCTGCAATGCAACATAGAGAGGGCACTGCATCTGGTCTTGGCACACCTAGATAAGAGATACTGAAAAACCTACCTAATCAAACCACGAGTTTACTGACTGTGTTGTACAACACAACATGGTCCAGAGGAGAGTCCTACTTATCCCACTTCTAAGACAAGGGAAGCAGGATCAAACTCTTATCGTCTTATTTCACTCACCTCAAACACGTGCAAAGCTATGGAAGCCATGGATACAAAAAACATACATCACCATGAAACACATCAGACCTGATCAAAGCGGCTTCAGGAAGGGACAACCATGTTTAGGTCATATACTAAGACTGGAACACGAAATAACAAAGTCCAGTTAAACAGACAATATCTAGCTGCAGTATTTCTTGGCTTCAGCAATGCCTTGGGCATGTATGGCATGACGGACTCCTCACAAAACTGGCACCAAATGGAAGGGAACATGGAAAACTTCATAGACAGCTTTTTGCAAGACAGGTCGCTGTCAGTGAAAAATGGGAACAATCAATCTGATCCAATGTCATTAGAAAATGGCATGCAACAAGGCAGCAGTATAAGCCCAACCCTGTTTAGCGTCAAGATCAATGATTTATTTGACTTTTCTACCCAAACTTCCCAATTCGTAATTTCGAAAAACATTCAGTTAGCCCTGGATAGAGTAGATTAATGGTGCAGTAAATGAGGTTCACTGTGGGAGTTCTATTCAAACACTGGTGAAAAGATGTTATGATATCCCATCTGTCTATAAAAGAAAAAACAATCAAAATATTATGGGTGATCCTCGATCAACATGTCACTTGTAGCAAACATATAGAATATGTGGAAACAGATGGCATAAAGACATGAATGTATTGCGGGCAATTTCAGGCACATATTAAGGTACCTCAGGGGCACTCAGCTGGACCTCTACATATCACTTATCAGATAAAACATCAAAAGATCAAATGGTTGTGAGTCTTTTCACACAGCATCAACCACTGTCTTGAGCCGCCAGAATACAACACAAAGCCCTAATGCTAACCTCAGTAGAAGCACTACATGTAGAAACAGGAGAACTCTCATTGAAACTAAGAAGAGAGTAGGCAATATTATTGTTTTACGGACGAACATCAAACCCTTTGGTGAAAACGATTTGGCAAGACAAAAACACCCGAGATGAATTTTCCTCACTGAAGCCGTCTTGGATATTACTGTGTAAACTCATCGGAAGTAAAAATTGTGATGACATTCAGCCACCAGAAAGTCACTACAAATGGTTACACTCTCGCACGACTTTAAATATTCTCAAAGTTGACGCTTCTTTAACATCAGAAGTCACTAAAAACGGAAATCCAACCATACTACGATCAGTAGCTATCACTAAAATTCAAACTACTTGGGACCATATATTCACTGATGGATCCAAGAATCCTATCAAAAAGATTGCTGTTAATGGGACCCATAGCTCCACATCAAAAGCACATTCGGTCCACCTGCTTAACTGTCAGTATTCACTGCTGAATTGTAGGCAATCCACCGGATTGGTGGGTTGGTTTGTTGTTTATCGCCGCAATATCCCAGCTATATGACGGCGGTCTGTAAATAATCGAGTATGGACCATACAATATAGTGATTAATATCATGAGCATCGATCCACACAATTGGGATCGATGACATCCATCAACCAAGTCAACGGGCCTGACCACCTGATCCCGTTAGTCGCCTCTTGCGACAAGCATAGTCGCCTTTTACAGCAAGCATCGGTTGCTGAAGACCTATTCTATCCCGGATCATCACGGGTCCGGAACTACCGGAAGCAAAGGCAGTCATCCTATCAGACTATATTAGTGCACAACACGCTATCAGCGGCAGAAACTCAAACTCGTGACCAAACACGGTCAGTAATACTCTATACAAATATACAAAACCATCGGACGAAGGACAACAGGTGAAGCTGTGTTGGATTCCGTCTCACACACACGTAGATGTTCATGGAAGTGAAAAAGCAGAGTGAACCTTAGACAAAGCGGAGATCAGCCTATTCCCTTCAGTAAACTAGAGTTAAAATGCAAAAGCAAATCCTTCATAGCCCAACGATGCCAAGTCCAGTGGGATGCAAGTAAGATCGGCAGATATAGAAAACTCAACCCACAATCCACCAAAAAACGTGCACATACTCAAATGAAAGGAAAGTTGAAGTAGCCATCTCACGCCTCAGACTCGGTCACAAAAAGCACAATGACAAGGCTTCCCAATCTTGCAATCAATTTGAATCCATTGCTCACTTGTTACTGGAATGTCAAGACCATACCCAAGACCGTGATCTGTTAAAACAAGAATTGCAGTGAGATCCGCTGTCTGTCGTAGATCTCTAAAAGCCAAGACATGCATTAGCGAAGGCCAAACAATATTTTTGAGAGGACAGCTACTTGAACGTATATAAACAAGCAGCCAAAGATCAAAATGAAATCATTTCAACAGCAACATGTGTATCTACCGACAGGATTTGCTAGACCGTTTACGGGTCGTCCTGTAACTTTGTGGTCAGATCGAAACCTAAGTTTCGCAAGTAATTAGTTATGGGACAGTACTTATTCTGGTGTTACTGATGTAAACTTAATGGCTAGGGTATTATAGCCGAGGTTGTTCACTCATGAGCGTGTTGAATTTCTAAACGCTCTTATGTTAATCTTAGGTATCACAAGCGACTTAAGACAGTCTATGCTTCTTGTCGACTGTTCTGTCAGATTGTTGATCAAGCTATCTTTTGTTATAGGTGTTGTACAATTGTGTAGCCAATCAGCTTGTATATTTGTTCATGGGTTATTAATCAGTGATCATTGTCCGTGTCGATTTGGAACTTGATGCTTCATATTGTCCTCCATAGTTACATTTTTCGTAGTTTCATGATTACTTTATACTTCTCCTTATTCTCCGTGACACGCGCCATCGTCGTCATTAAATTAAAACATGACAAGAAGATAGGGAGTATTTAGTTTCATCTTTGTTGGAATGTTCAAAGCCTGTGCTTTTGACTATGCAAACCCAATGTCCATACATATAAAACTTACAACTAATTCCTAAAAAATTCTACTTACCGGCTTTCCCAATACTACAAGGTGTTCTGGAGGGCGAGTTCGTGAACAGTTACCATAGACAGTCATTTCATCGTATGACAATATGACTGGTACTATGAAACTCACAATAAACATCCAAGAAGAAGAAAATATCATGACTTCTTCAACACTGGAAACGGTCTGCATAATGTGCACAGGGAGAGTCGTTGAACGCTGACGTTGCATTATATTTATTTCAGTTTGACAACTTGCGTAAACCATGGCGTCACGATCACGAATATACAATTGTCACTATACAAAGAACGGAATCGGATATCCACATGCCTGGCCTTGTCCTATTATCAAGAACCATAACAGTACGACAATGGACTATCTTGCGTCTCTATCTAACGCCACAGTTGACAATGCACCACATATTCATCGCACTGACGCGTTTGCTTTTCATGTCTAATTTGTTTCATGCTATTTGTGTTGGTATGATAATGTGCTTGCAAATGTCCATTGAAACTCGCAGAACTCCGTGGGATCAATGGCTGGTTCTATGCTTATACTTTCCCAGTCAACGACGATATGATGTAAATTACCCTTAGAATATGGTCTTAACATGCCACTTTACAACGTTGTTTATGAGCGTGTCAAAATAAAGTCGACATGCAAATTGTTGGTCACTACAGTGGTTGCTACTGACTAAAATTCAAATGTATCATCTCATATTATATCAATGCAATAGCTAAGAAGTTAGAAAATTATGAGTGTATTAGATAGGTTGATTCACTTTGTATCAGTGAGTGAGTATGATTTAACACCGCTTTTAGCAATATTACAGCCATTGTACCAAAGTAGGGAACCGAACCCGGGTCTTTGGCGTGACGTGCTAACGCTTTAACCACTAGGCTACCCTATTGCCCCTAACACCTCGAAAATGCATTGTGACCACCCAATCATCCATCACCAAATCACAGGTGTCTCCGGCTATAAAGACACACATGGTATGATGGCGATGTGGTCTACAAAGGATGACAATGAGGACGAATTATACCCATTTCAGAAATAGTCTAATCATTCAACTCCAAGAGACACCAATTTAGGGTTTCAAACGCTCTACCCATGTCCGTATTTGATATTTAGTTCTTTAACGTAAATCGTCTCTTAATACGATTGTACCGTTCAGAAAAAGGGCCAATGAACCACATCAATCCCTCAACACCATGCGGTTCATTTTGCCACCAGGCATGTTGTAAGGGAGGTAAGCCATCTAGTCTCTCTCTTGTCAAACCCAGCATGTGAGCGTTGCTGCGCTCTGTCGTGTTATCCCCTTTCGACACCAGAACAAATAGCCGAGATGAAAAAGGGAGACAACTCCTTCGTGTCAATGTGTCATGCTGTTATGAATGCTCGCTGCATTGCTGAAATGCAATTGTCGATGTGCTGATTTATCCTTCGTATATGGGCTGTTCCGTGATCATGCAGATTTATGTCGGTGCTGATTTAAAAGCCAAATTCGGAAATAAAACTACTCACACATAGTGTTGTGTACGTATATGAAACGTTATACATCTAGGATCTTCTAATGTAACCAAATGACACAAAAGCAATATAATGAAGTTATGTGCGCCTGGACAGGTACATGTACGAGACCCGTGAAGATTCCGGGGTAGAATAGGTCTTCAGCAACCCATACTTGCCGTAAAAGGTGACTATGCTTGTCGTAAAAGGCGAAAAACGGAATCGGGTGGTCAGGCTCGCAGACTTGGTTGATGCATGTCATCGATCCCAATTGTGTGGATCGATGTTCATGATGTCAATCACTGGATTGTCTGGTCCAGACTCCATTATTTAAAGACCGCCGTCATATAACTGGAATATTGCTGAGTGCGGCGTTAAACAGCAAACCAGCCAACATGTACGTAATAAGTGAAAGTCGTCTGGATTAACACAAAACCTCAACGCAAGAGAATATCAAGTCTCGAGTATTTGCCGAAACAGATTCCAAAGGGCGTAACAAAAAGGCCAAATAGCAGTGAGAATTATATAAATGGATAACTGAAAATCAGTGATGACTCCAGGTATTCTGCCCAAGCAGCACCCGCCACTCACGCAATTTGCATAACAAAGTAAGTGTTTGGTTGTTGCCTTGTTACCCCTCTCATTTGACCACGGCAATGTCAAAATAAACTGTGGGTGTAATGTGACATCTTAAAATATTCCCATAAAAGTTCCAATGAATAGTCGTCCACAAAGACAGGATCACGGACTAACACGGGATGACAAGGTGTTCCTGTAATTGATGACATCAGGTATTTCGATTAATAAACTCTTCTTCTTTTCTTCTGCCCTTGACAGTTCACCATAGTGCTAATTGTGGGACAAAACGACTAATGGAATATAGATTTGCGTCCACATACACGATGGAGCCCGTGTTAACCAGTTCTTCAAACAAAACAATTAAATCTATCTAACTTATTTATACGTTTCTTGTATATGGGTGCAGCAATATTGAAACTACAGTAAAGTACGGCTATAACGAACTCAAAGGGACTTAGTTCGTTATAACCGTAGTTCATTATAAGCATTTATACAGAAACTAGTCGCGACCAATAAAGTAAGTTCGTTATATCCGTCAATTCGTTATAAGCGTGTTCGTTATAACCGTAGTTTACTGTATTTGCATGTGAGAGATGTATATCGGCCACACACTCATCTGAGTGCATACACCATGTAGTTAAGAGACGGGAGCGAGCCCCTGCCCAACTGTATTCGCGCATGCAGATACATGGCCTCTGACTTTTGTTTTGTATTTTACATCAGAATAAAAGGAAACTCATTTATAAATGTATAATAATCAATACATACTGTAACTTTAGTAGAATAAAAAACATGCATCATCTCATATACCATACAATTCAATGGTACTTTCGACAAAATAATCTTATGTACACTTGACATAACGTGTCGTCTTTTCTGTGATAGTATCGTGCAGGTGAAAACTATGGAAACGTAGTAGGGTCACAGTCTAAAAAATATATCATCTACGTAAAGCGATACCATCATCTACTTATATGATGTTATAATCTACGAAGAAGAAAGTATCATATACTATCGAGGCATCTACCTTTGTAACAATATGTTCTCGAGCAATCGACACTAGTTCCGGGTCAGTTATATATAAACTCTTGCTTGATTCGTAATTAATGACCGATGTGTTGGACTTTTAACCTTGACATATCTTTATTGAGGTACTTTATAAACACTAAATAAACCAAATCTTCATTTAAATGTGTGGATGTTACAGACAAATGACACACGCCACTCTCTAACATCCGAAAAACAGAGAGGAGGGTATGAAATGTTCGCCACACTACAAATACTGATAGGCCATTATTCAAATTCATGTCGAAATTATATATCAACCACAACATGGTTTAAGTCTGACGATTCACTCAAAAATGTTGATTCTCACGATTTCTCCATAACGGATATTAGGTGTAAGTGGTAAAACGCGACCATGAAGGGGTGAGAATCACTGTAACTATAAACATATATATGAAACTAATAGCATTATCATCCTGAAGCAGTGAAGGTACAATTCTGCAGTTTGTGTTTATATTTAAGCGCTGATAGTTTGGCAGTTTCAAACGATATCAGTATGTAGTAAAATTAAAGGCCAAATGAAACTATACAACAGACAGGTTCCCAAACATAATTAAATCAACAGTAATTAAGTAGTTGCCTTTATTTAAAGGGAGTGAGTGAGTTGGGTTTAACTCCGCTTTTAACAGTATTCCAGTTATATCTCGGCGTGTCAGCTTAATGTGGGAGGAAAGCCCGAAGTGATGCAGGTCTCAGACGTTTACCACTTCGGTGAAACCCACGAGCATGGGTATGGTGCTGACAAACCTAGAAACATAATCGGGGCGAACCTGGATTCGAAACCACAATCATATGTTTCCGGCGTGCCTAAGGGACGCAACTCTGCACAGCGAATCGCGACTGCACCACCCGTGCCCCCGCCTTTATTTAAAATATAAATGTTTGTGTAAACTAGTATCCACCCAAAATTGGAACTTTACAAACAATATCTTTGTGTAAGTAACGAAACTTGCGATTATAGCATAACATACGGAGATGAGAGTATCTTCAACGTAGATGTAAGTATCATTTATGAAGAGGATATTTTTTTAGAATGTGGCACTAATACGCTTCCATAGAAACCATCTCACTTTACACATGAAAGATTTGTACAGGGTTCGCTACAAAGGCCTGTGATTGAATAAGGCTGAATGTGGCCTGGACAGTAGACAGAGAATATCACAGTGATCTTGGCACACCAGGAAGTCCATAGTCACACGTTACCGATTAGGATTGATTAACATTATATAAATACATACAACTCAGATCGTTGTTCACGGTGCGTGCATGTCCCTGCAGTGTCTAGCTTAATACAGGTTAGAGCACAGGCAAATACTTTCGTCCAATGGGTGGTCACTATTTTGGTCAGGTGTAGTGCATTTGTATGCTGATAAAGTACTGTAAAGTATACAGTTTACATAGGCGTTAAACTCTCATTAAACTTGCACATTTCAGCATGACATGACTTAAACAACAAACAATGGGTTCTTTTATTTATTTAATGCCAATAACGAGAGTTTCTAATTGATTTAATAAATTCTACTGGCTCAAATTGTGTTCCATAGCAATCTGGATCTCCTTTGTCGCATTGCTTAATTTGAAAATTGTCCCTTTTCCTGTGCTTGATTAGTCATAGCAGAGAGACAGTTTTAAATCCTCAGCCTGAAAATCCAAAATACAGTCTCGAATAACAGTCCCTCATAATCCTCAATATAGCGCTCGCTATTTGATAACGATATCTAGAGGATAGCGTTTCTACATAGGACGACTGAAGCCAATAGTTTATTTCTTTCGCCGAAAGTGCGGAAAAATCAAATGGTACGGACATGTAGGTTCAAGAACATACAAGTTTCTAGTTTTATGTATTGCCCATTCTGTCCAAATGTTAAAACACCACTTTGTATTAATCCTGGGATTCGACCTGCACTCAAATCACCTATCATGGCTGAAATACGAGATGCAAAATGGTCATTACTTTTTTAGGTTGATGGTTTTAATTTTTGTTAAGTTTCTCAATCCTCCAAAGTTTGGCTCACTTCAAAATCAGATAAAATTGTATGTTCTCTTGCCAGAGGCC